TTCGTCATCATCATCGTCATCGTCATATGGATCCCCTGTCGTATCCCTCCCCAATGCCCCGTCAATGTTCGAACCCCAGGTGACGATTCGATTGTCTTGGGTGATGATCTACGCCAACAGCGAGGTGAACCACCCCAATTATGCCTGCTGCAAGGTTTGGATTTAACCTGGGACGCACGATCTCCGTGACTGAATCCCCCATCCCCAGTTCGCCGGAATCATTCGTTCCGCACACATACACGTCTAGTTACTGGTTTGGCGCGACGCTGGGGAATGGAGGTGCGGTTGCTGCCGCTGTAGGCCTCGCTATTGGGATGTCAGACTATGATTATTCGGACGTGTCACCGAGCTCACCTACCTCTTTTTACCGGAGGATCCGCCGACGCCAGTGGCGCCTTGCCTTCTCTCTTCTTGGAAGATCTAGGAGGCATTTAACCGCGTAGTAACCCAGCGAGGCAGAGCTGCTCCAATGGTATAAAATCGAAAACAGAGCGTGATGGTATCGCTGGGATATTAGGGCTAAGGTGAGAATCTGAAAAGTGCCAGACTTTCCAAAATTATTCGTATACTTGTTGCTTGCTAGTATATTCAATCGACAAAAGTAGAATTGATCAGGAAATGCATCCCTTTACTAGATGTTGACTGCATTAAAACCAGTATAAACAAAGATATGCATCTTCTTTGACCTCCATTACTCCCTCTGTTGGTACTATCAAAAGGACTTTGTAGAAGGCCTTGTTCATACTTCTCTGACACGTTCAAAGCATCAAACTGCCCTCGATTCTTTTGAGCGACGGCTAATAATATATTTTTGACTACGGCAGATATATATCAAATGATCCCAGCCTCCTCCCTCTTTCAACACTCATTGTTGGACTAACGTTTCACCTCAATTCAAAGGCATTCATTGTTACCACCATGTTGCTCAGTCTTCCATCTGAATTAATCAAAGCCATCTCGGCTAATCTCGAAACAACAGCAGATAAGAACGCTCTCATTCTTACATGCCGCCGGCTCTACTGCACACTCAACGATGACATGTATCGCGATGTAGTACGATCAGAATCCATGCCCAAGAAGAATCCAGCTGGATTAATGCCATGCAATGGGCAGCAATCAACGGACGAGAAGTTTGCATAAAAAGTGCTCACTCATGGCGCTGATCCTTGAATCTTTGAGCCCCGCGATTGCGAAAGACTACAAGCGCCCAAGGCCATTTTTTCCGACAACGATCCCCTTTTAACTTGGTCAAGTCCTCTAATATGCGCTGCGGTCGGTGATCATGCTGGCGCTGCCAAACTCCTCATTGACGCAGGCGCTAATGTCAATGCGCACGGAGTGTCTAGCGAGCAGCCCATCATTGCCGCAGTGACGCATGGACATGTGCATGTTGTGCGCGTTTTGCTTGCTGCGGCTGCCAAGTTGGACTCTAGGATAAGAGGTGGGGCTTTGCTCTCGTACGCCGCCGGGAAGGGTAATGTTGAGGTAGTCAAGTTGCTGCTGGCGCCTCGGAGTTCGATCTCCTTGACCCAGGACGAAGTAGGTGCTGCCCTCGAAGATGCCATACAAAATGGTCATCAGGAGGTGGTGCGCTTTCTCACCCAGACCGGCATTGACCTGGAGCGCCGTGTCAATAATTACCGGACTCCTCTTTTCGTGGCCTGCACAAGGGAGACAAACGACATGGTTCGCCTACTCATTGATCTTGGCGCCAGCACAGAGACTCCATATTCTGATGGCAAACCTCTGCTCCATAAGGTAATCTCAGAAGGGAGGCCGAATTTCAACGAGACTGTGACGCTCTTGCTGGACAAAAATGCGTCAATCGAGGCTCGAGACAGATCTGGCTCCACGCCATTGATTACAGCTGTGCTTTATTATTGCCTTGACACAGTCAAACTCTTGCTTTCTCGAAATGCGGATGTTGAGGCCCGAAATAACGAAGGATTCAACCCTCTTCTACTTGCGATATGCAATGACTTTCACCAGGCCGTCAGGGTTCTGCTGCATGATGGGAATGCAGATGCAAGCGCTTCTTATCCTGATGGTGATACTCCGCTCTGCTGTGCTGTTGTCGGGGGGCATTTGCAGACCGTAGCAGCCCTGCTGGAGGCGTTACCTCCAGGACCAGGAAAGACAGCTTTAATCGATACTCCGGACCCATATCTCCAGACTCCCCTTTTCATTGCGACGGATATTGTCAGTCTCCTGCTGAGCCATGGGAGCAAGGCGATGCATATCAAAACTCGCGCGGGCCGCACTCCATTCTCTTTCCCGGAAGACACCGAGAGTAGACAGTCTCACCCATTAGACCCAAGTAGCGACTTGTCCGCAATCCGCACCTTGTTACGAGATCCGTCAAAGGCGGCCTTTGACGCGGACAAGGTACTTGACACATCGGCTAATGGTATAACTATGCCGCATTTTGACTCCTTACGGTGCAATAACTGTTCGATACCGATCTCGAAACATGATGTAAGCCGTCGTTAGCCTGTGTGCGAAGACATCTATGGGAGTACGCTTATACTATGCCCTGAGTGCCATGCCGTTGGGAGCAAGTGCTATGAAGCAACTATTGACGCCGAAGAGAATTCTTAGTTTGACTACGAGGTCTATGATACCAAGGTGCCTAAGAAAAGACGTTCTTTTGAGTACTAGTAGTGGTGCACCTGTACTCTTGATGTGCTTGATATTATACGTGGGGTCGCCTCCCTGGCAGGCTACTTAGGGTTATCTGTGGCCGAAGACCTACCATGGTGTACTAGTAGTAGGTCCATGGGCCATTGATTTCTCGCACCTCACAAAGCAAAGCAAATAACATGAAGCTGGCTATCTATCTAGGTAGCCTGTTATTTCAACTAAACATTATCTATCTGTATATATTGATCTATTCCCCTCACGATGACCTATCAGAGGAAGTATATGATCGACCGGAGGACGAAGTCCACGCGACCTCACTGCATCGCGCATCGCCCATCTTACAAATATCAACTATCTGGTGAACCATTGACTTTCTGTTTCCGTACCGTTAATTTCCTCCATATGACAAAAAAAACTAAAGTAGAGTATGCATGATGCTGCACTACCCAGTCACGTGAACATATCCGCCCCAGGGTATGACGTCGGTATGACCGCGTATATCCAGGTCTTGTCTTCGATGAATCTTCATTTATCTTTCTTCTCTTCCGCTTCATCTCTCACATTCAATCCAATTGATACTGAAACACTTGTATAGTAAGTTTCCTTTCTGTTAAGGGTTCCTGCCACAGACCTAACCAAGTACATATAGATCATCCAATTTATAGATCACCGTTTGGGCGATACACTGCATCTTCGCAATAAACCAAACCAATACTACAACACAATTAGCCTACTTAAAAACCAGCAAAAAATGTGGAAAGACCTCGCAACCCCAATCCGCCACATCGCGCGCACCACCGCGACAACCACCATTCGCACACAACCAGCTTCCGGAAACATCCTAAGCCGCAACCTCGCAACCCGCCAGTCCCAGCGCACATTCACCGCGATCCCGCGCCGCCAAGCACAACCCCAAGACGAAGAAGACCACTTTCACGACCGGCACGCGCTCGATCCCTCGCGGACTGAAGCCTCGCAGTCCGGGACGACCGACGAAGTCTCGCATCGCGACGCGGCATTCGACCCCTCTAACACGGCACCGGAGACCGAGATTGGGGCGTCGAGGGAGGAGTCTAAGCGGGAAGGGTCTAGGAGGGATCCCCTCGGGGTTAGTGCCGGGGATAAGGATGTTGGACGGGAGAGGGATCCGATGGAGGGAGGTGCGGAGAAAAATGCTGATAAGGAGGGGCATAGTACTAGGGGGTCTGCGAGGAAGAATCGTGAGATCAAGGTTGGGGGGAGATAGATCTTCGAGCTGTTACTGAGTTTGGGGTTCATGGAAGTGGATCTGACAGCTTTCCTATTTGATTATAGCACACCGTAAAGTATATATTAGACTTTGAGGGCCTTGTGTAAAACAAAGTATAACGCTATACGCAAATCAAAGTCCACGCCGAGAACTTCTAAAGACCATGTATATAATAAGTCGACCAGCTCATTCTTTCCCATATTTGATGATATCACTGCCATGCAGAACCCAGACCTTCTCACTGCCAGCAGGGACATCACCATTAAGTGCTTTCAGACCAGTATTGACAGCGGCTTTGCCGATGACATCTGCTTCCTGTGCCCACCCGTCCTTCAGACTCGAGTGCAGCTTACCGAAGGCACCGGCAACGAACCGAGCAGCAGCCTCCAGAGGTCGACTCTCCTCTCGCTGACCAGCAATTAGTCCAGGTCGAAGGATCACAGTCCTCTCGAAGCCCAGAGCCTTGATATCCTCCTCAATCTCTCCTTTCATCTTAGTGTACGCGAAGTTCGAAGTGGTACTCGCGCCACTCGACGAAATCAGTACGTAGACCTTTGTGCCTGCGTCACGGGCAGCTTTCGCCAGCTCCACGTTCAGGTCGTGTTCAATCTTGTATTGATTCTCAAAGCCACCTGCGGCTGCTCTTGTGGTCGCGAAAGAGGAAATGAAAATGGATGGCGTGGGGCTGAGTGTGGAGAGCTGGCTTGCCCACTTGGAAGTGTCATCGGAGACGAAGGTGGTTAGTTTTGCTTGAGCGGCAGCAGCTGCTTGAGGAGTGCGTCGGGAGATTGTGTCGACGCGCGAGACGGAACTGCTTGAGAGAAGGCTGTTGAGGATATGTGTTCCCTAATTCAAATTAGACCGAAGCTCTGAGGGTTAGGAGGGGTCTTTGAAAGTTGTGCGTAGAGTATATTGGTCACGTACCACCATTCCTGTAGATCCAAGCAGCGCCACGTTTGCCATTTTGATGGAATGTAGTTCCTGTGTATTGGGTTTAGACGGGATGAGAGCTTTATCGAGCGTCGAGCGCAAATTGATGTTTTGACGGAGACTGTCGGAAACAATGACGTTGTCCTTGATCTGGATCTTCTTGCAGAAATCCTAGACCAAAAATAGTAACGGGCTTTCTGGGAGGCGCTAAGCCCAGACGGTCCAGGGTCGCTTTGCCTCGGCCGAGAATTTGGAGAAGGATTAGTAATGCGGGGTCGCCCCCGAAAGCGGAGGGTTCTGCCAGAATTTGCCGCCATTCAAACCCTTCGATTAAGAAATTGCGTGCTCGCCGCTAAACCCTTTCGGGTATGATCCCCTGGCACTTTTTATTGGGGACTATAGAGATGGCGTTCTTTTTTTTTTCCTCACTCGCACTCCTCCTGTTCCTGTTCTTTGAGATAGCAGGCGTTTGAACTGGTATCTGGACAGTGAACAATCACAATGGGCTCCTCATCACCGGCCCTCTCGACCCTCGGTGGTCCTACATATGTGACTGCCCAGACCCTAATTCAGCAGGTCGCCTACGCCCTGAGCGACAAGATCTTCTCCTACTCGCCGGAGTCGTTTGATCTGGACGCTGCCCTTCGCGAATGGGCTTCGAAGAAGGATGCCAATGCCAATGGCGAGGCACCTGCCGTTCAGGCCATGGAGACTCGCCAGGGTGCTGGTAACATCGCTCTCGGATACCTCTTCTCTCAGGATTTCGACCTGAAGAAGCGCCACGTCCCCCAGGGCATTGTCGCCTCGTCCGCGACTTTGCCGTATATGCGAGCCGCTCTGGAGCAACTCTCCCTTCTATACTCTGTCGCTAGCCCCGTTGCTGCCCACGTTGCCGCTGTTGACTACGCCGGCGAGGATGGCCTCGTCTCCGACTATGTCTCTGCGCTTTCACTCGCTGAAGAGCTCGGACTCGGTCTTGTCTCAAGCGCCTCTGTTCACGAGTCCCAGCATATGGCTCTCCTGACCACACTGCTCGCCTCCGTTCTTCCATCTATCCACATTTACGACGGCGTCCGTGTTGGACGTGACAACACCCGCGTCATCGATGTCCTCGACCAGGCTGGCCTCAGCCGTGCCTATGTGAATGTGCGCAAGACTTTGGAAGACCAGCGGAGCCGCCACCTCGATGACCAAGGCAAGCTCCTTGAACTGATCCGCTCGTTGAACGGAGAGCTTGGCACTGATTATAGTGCTTTCGAGTACCACGGCCATGCTGAGCCCACCTCTGTCCTGGTTGCTTTCGGTACCGTTGAGGCATCACTCACTGCCCAAGTTGCCCGTTCTCTAGCCAAGGATGGCGTGCGTGTTGGTGTTGTCAACGTCCGCGTGTACCGCCCCTTTGTCGAGGAGGAGTTCTTGAAGGTCCTGCCGCAGTCTGTCAAGACTGTTGGTGTTCTCGGCCAGGTCGCTACTGAGCAGGCTGTGCAAGACCAGGGCATCCGCTCCACTCTTTACGAGGATGTTTTTGCCGCTCTGACCTTCGCCACTGACCGGGAGCAGACTCCCGCTGTCGTGGACATCAAGTACGCTCGCTCTCAACGTTGGGACTTGATCAACATTGCTGCGTCTTTCCAGCTCGTTTCCGACAAGCCAATTGTTCAGGCCGACAGCACCGCCGAGACTCTTCAGCTTCTGGACCCATCCACAGTGCAAGAATTCACCTTCTGGGATGTCGACACTTCCGCTTCTAACGATGCTGCTACCATCCTATCGCAGGCTCTGGCTGCTGACTCTGCAAGCAATGTCACTACCAGCAAGGTGTACGATAACCTCATCCAGGGCGGAGCTGTTCGCGTCGATATCCGCAAGAGCTCCAAGATCGTCGATGCTCCCTACCCTGTTTCTGCAGCTGATGCCATTTATGTCGGCGACGTGAAGCTGCTCGGAGAGATTGACATCCTGTCCTCCGTCAAGGACAACGCCAAGGTCATTGTCAACGTGGCCGGCGTCAAGGAGGAGGACCTGGAGAAGAAGCTGCCTGCTAGCTTCAGACAGACCGTCGCTGAGCGTGACATCTCCCTCCACATCCTTGACCCTTCTGCCGTTGAGGATGCCGCCCTCGAGCCTCTTGCCCTACAGGTTGCCTTCTTGCGAGTAGCCCTCCCCTCCGTTGAGGACTCCGCAGTCAAGAAGCTTGCCTCTATCTCTGGCAACACCGAGTCTCTGCAGAAGGTCAGCGCGGATCTGGAGAAGGTCCTCCGCCAGGCTGAGATTCCTGAAGCTTGGAAGACTTCCGAGGAGGGCGCCGAGGCCCGTGAGCTCCTGAAGGATGTCACCCCCAACAGCTTCGCGCCGTTCGACAAGGACGAGACTGAGCCTGCAACCTTCCTCAAGGATTGGCAGACCGTGGCCAAGGGCTTGGCTTTCAAGGAGGCCTACGGCGCCAGGTCTGCTCTTCGTCCTGACTTGTCTACCAAGAGCTTCACCGTTCACGTCAAGGAGAACAGGCGCCTGACCCCTGTGACCTACGACCGCAACATCTTCCACATCGAATTCGACCTGGGTGACTCTGGCCTCACGTACGACATCGGTGAAGCCCTTGGCGTGCACTGTGAGAACGACCCTCAGGATGTCCTTGACTTCATCAAGTTCTACGGTCTCAACGCAGACGACGTGGTCGAAGTCCCCAGCCGCGAGGATCCCGCTGTTCTCGACAACCGCACCGTCTACCAGGCCCTCATGCAGAATTTGGACATCTTCGGTCGCCCACCCAAGCGCTTCTACGAAGCTCTCGCCGAGTTCGCCACCGACGAGAACGAGAAGAAGGATCTCCTCACCCTCGGCGGCCCCGAAGGTGCCGTGGAGTTCAAGCGCCGCGCTGAAGTGGACACCATCACCTACGCCGACATTCTCCTTGAATATCCCTCCGCCCACCCCGACTTCCACGAGCTCATTCGCATCGTCAGCCCCATGAAGCGCCGTGAGTACTCTATCGCCTCCTGCCAAAAGGTCACCCCTACGACCGTCGCCCTCATGATCGTCGTCGTCAACTGGGTCGACCCCCGCGGCCGCGACCGCTTCGGTATCTCCACCCGCTACCTCTCCCGCCTGCAACCCGGCACCCCCGTGACCGTCTCCGTCAAGTCCAGCGTCATGAAACTCCCCCCCAAGTCCACCCAGCCTATCATCATGGCCGGTCTCGGAACGGGTCTCGCCCCCTTCCGCGCCTTCGTCCAGCACCGCGCCCTCGAAAAGGCCCAAGGCAAGGAAATTGGCGCCGTTCTGCTATACATGGGCTCGCGCCACCAGCGCGAGGAATACTGCTACGGTGAGGAGTGGGAAGCCTACCAGGAGGCCGGTGTCATCACTCTCCTTGGCCGTGCGTTCTCTCGCGACCAGCCGCAGAAGATCTACATCCAGGATCGCATGCGCCAGACCATTCCCGAGATCATCCAGGCATATATCCGCGAAGAGGGAGCGTTCTACCTCTGCGGTCCTACTTGGCCTGTTCCTGATGTTACTGCTGTTCTCGAGGAGGCTATTGCTGCCGAGGCGTATAGCAGGGGCAAGAAGGTCGAGACCCGCAAGGAGATTGAGAAGTTGAAGGATGAGGAGAGATATGTTCTTGAGGTCTACTAAGCCTGTGCATGGATGCATGCATAGTTGGCCTCTGATGTATATGATGATTCATGCTCTTATACATACTGTCTGATTTCAGCGCTTATTGATATCATGATCTGTTGATAGACATACCTCACTGTGGCTTTTTTGGCAAAATGCATTTGTTTGGTCAGAATTATTCTATCTCATGTGTAAATTTGTATAGTCCTCTATTGCTCTCGCTGTAGTAAATCTGTACGTGTGTAGTGTATCTCGTAACTTTTACGCGTCGACTGGGTATCTACTATATACTAATCCGTACCCCTCTAAATTTGAGCTCTATATTCTCATAAGCCGAAGAAAAAATTGCATAGCGGACGGTAATCTCATAAAAGTGCCTAGGCGCGCCCCATGGCCCCCAGCCTCGTCTTACCATACGCACCACCCTTCTCCTTCCGTAGTTCCAGCGCACGCCGATACGGCGGTGCCATGGGCGGCTGTACCGGGTCTAGACTAACATGATCAGGCGGAAGAGAATAAGAAGCGTCCGAATCCCAAGCGGACAAATCACCACAGGCAATGAACGAAGGGATCCACCTGTTCTCAACAGCGAACTTCTGCGGTGCACTGAACAGAGGCTCGGGTGTGGTCGAGTCACCGGAGTCGTCGTGCAAAAGGCGAGTCTGGATGTCCTTTCCTCCGGCTGCAGAGGCAACGGTCTTTACGCGCTTGGGCGCATTGGACTCATCGTCTGGGACTTCCGCGGCGAGATTTCCATTTTCCGATGTAGGTTGCGGGACGGCCGCGCCGCCGAATAGAGGGTTCTTTAAAGAGTCCATACCTAGCGAGCCATCGTGGACGGCTGGTGGGATGAAGCCCTCGCAGACGATGAAGGCTTCAAGACTGCTTGCGCGACTACTCCGTGGTTTTGCGACGCTGACTCGCTCGAAGACGGATCGGAGCTGAGAGTAGAGGAGGTCGACATCGCGCTCGCGGAAGATCTTGGCGACGAACTTGCCTCCTGGTCGGAGAACACCCAGGGCGAGGTTTAGGGCTGAGTAGAGGAGTTGGGATTGGATGTAGATGTCTAGATCGTGGAGGCCCGTTACGTCTGGCGCGCCGTCGGAGATGACGAGGTCGACTGGATGTGGTTGGCGGATGGCGTGAGGTGTAGAGGATTCGGATTCGTAGGCCTCGGGGTCTAATGCGCGCAGAAGGAGGGGGATCGTGGAGGGGTGCGTGATGTCGGCCTGGAGGGTTGTGATTCCCTGAAGAGGAGCCATGGGTTGCAGATCGATGGAGACGATTTTGACATTCTTCCGCGGCTTCAATACATTCGGGTCGGTGTCGTCTGTAGTATTTTCTTCCCCCGCTTCCTGACCCTTCTTGTCATCCGCTTGTGTATCTCCATTTCGCTTTGCCAGTGCCGCTTGTTCCTTGCGCTTCTTCTCGACCCAGGATCTCCGGCCAAAGCTTTCGCCCTTGATCAGCACTCGACTGAGCACTTGACTCCAGCTACCAGGTGCTGCGCACAAGTCGACGACCCTCGTCACTTTCTCCGGATTCTCGTGCTCGAATAGATCGAATTGTTCGTCGATTTGAATCAATTTGAAGGCGGATCGTGCGCGCCAATTCTGCTCTTTGGCGAGGCGATAGTAGGCGTCGCGCTTGTCTTTTGAGGACTTTCCCATGGTGAAGTGTGTAGGCCGAATTTATCAACCTGTATGCTCACCTGTCGTTGTCCTTGTGGAAAAGACGATTTCGGATTTCTTTTGCGTGGGGCAGCGATAAGATCGGCATCTTGAGTAGAAAGCGGTCTGGATCTGCCGCTATTTTTTCCTCCAAAAAATTGCCCTCATTGACGAAAACAACATCTTGCGGCTATTCCTCTCGCTCCCGAGCTTCAACCATACGCGCTTCAATTATGGGTTTCAAACGGCCGCGCGAGTCAAAGAATGCTGGCTCGCAGTCGAGCAAGCGGAAGAAGACCAGCGCTTCTAAGAAAGTGATTGAAAACCCGGAGGTCGAGGATGTCAGTGTCGCGATTGACGATCTCAATTGGAAGGAGGTAACATTACCGGACAAACTCGACGACTTTACCGGATTCTTTGGCTTGGAGGAGATTGAGGGAGTGGATGTTGTTCGTCCGGAAGGGAAAGGAGATCTCCGATTCAAGGTACGGAATTCTACATCTCCAAGCAGTCCCCGACTAAACCGGTATCAGGCCGCCCGTGGAAAGCCAGCCAAGTCCATCCTGAAAAATCCCAACGCAAAGCCCGAGACAACGTTCGACGACGAGTGGAGCGGCTTTAGTGACGATGAACCTGCGAACGAGAACGGCGGTGCGACGGAGACACCGGACGAAGAACCCAAGGCGGCAGGCGTGAAGGACAAGAAGGACGAGAAAACAAAGAAGAAGGAGGCGCAAAAGAAGGAGAAGAAGGACGCCCAAAAGGAGACGAAGAAGGAGCAAAAAGATCGGAAACAAAAGAATGGCACCAACCTGAAAGACCGCGACATCAAACCTGGGCTGTCATTCGCCGCCCTTGAGGACGAGGAGGAGGACGATGGGGCGGATGTTTCTGCTTGGGAGTCGCTGGGTCTTTCACCAGAAACTTTGGCCAGTCTCTCGAAGCTCAACTTCGGTACTCCGACAACTGTTCAGAAGGCCTGCATACCCCCAATTCTGGATGGTCACGATGTTATCGGCAAGGCGTCTACGGGTTCCGGAAAGACTCTGGCGTTCGGCTTACCTATCCTGGAACATTATCTCGAGCAAATACGAAATGGAGAACGGAATGAATCGGAGAAGAAAGAGGATAAGATCCCAATTGCGCTGATTCTCTCGCCGACAAGAGAACTTGCGCATCAGCTCCAGAAGCATATTTATAACCTGGTCTCAAACGCCCCGGGGGTGAATCCTCGAATCGCGCTTCTAACTGGTGGTCTCTCCGTGCAGAAGCAGCAAAGGTTGCTCAACGGCGCTGACATTGTCATCGGTACACCAGGTCGTGTCTGGGAAGTCCTCAGTTCGGGGACAGGGCTGATCAAGAGGATGCAAGGCATTAAATTTCTTGTTATTGATGAAGCCGATCGGCTTTTGAGTGAAGGGCACTTTAAGGAGGTTGAAGATATTCTAAGCTCGCTCGACCGCGTTGAAGATACGGATATGCCTGATGAGGCAGACTCATCGGATGATGAAGAGATTAAACCTGGTTCTGAGAGACAGACACTGGTTTTCTCGGCTACCTTCCACCGTGACTTGCAGCAGAAGCTTGCAGGAAAAAGCAAGTGGACTGGCGGAGATATCATGAACAAGAAAGAGTCTATGGAGTATCTTTTGCAAAAGCTGAATTTCCGGGAAGAGAAGCCGAAATTCATCGACGTCAACCCTATTCAGCAGATGGCCGAAGGTCTCAAAGAAGGAATCGTCGAATGCGCTGCTATGGAAAAGGTTTGCTATATTCCCTATTAGACGCAACCTACGAGTCTCGCTAACCTCGCATCTAGGATCTTTACCTATACACATTACTTATGTACCATCCTAAGCATCGGACACTCGTCTTTACAAACTCCATTTCCGCTGTTCGCCGCATAACCCAACTCCTCCAGAATCTACAACTTCCCGCCCTGGCTCTTCACTCGTCTATGGCGCAAAAGGCCCGATTACGTTCAGTTGAGCGCTTCTCCTCTCCAACTGCGAACCCCGGAACGATCCTTGTTGCCACTGACGTTGCGGCTCGTGGTCTCGATATCAAGGGGATTGATTTTGTCGTCCACTACCACGCCCCACGCACTGCAGATACATATGTCCACCGTTCAGGTCGTACCGCTCGTGCGGGCGCCTCAGGAAAAAGTGTTATCATCTGCGCTCCAGAGGAGATGGTGGGAGTGGTCCGCCTGGCCGCCAAGGTTCATGCCAACATGGCTAATAAAAAGCGACTACCGCTGGAATCCCTTGAACTAGACCGCCGAGTGGTCTCGCGCATCCGCCAGCGGGTAACTCTTGCGGCCCGTCTCACAGATTCCAACATCGCCAAAGAAAAGATTTCTACAGAGGACAACTGGCTTCGAAATGCTGCAGAAGACCTCGGTGTCGACTACGACAGCGAAGAGTTTGACCAAGCTGAAGGTCGTGGTCGTGGCCGCGGCCGTGGACGACACGAGCGTGACCGACAAAATAGCACTATTTCCAAGGCTGAACTTGCTGGAATCCGCGCGGAGCTGAAACAACTGCTGTCTCAACGTGTGAATATTGGAGTCAGCGAGCGATACCTTACCTCGGGACGTGTTGATATTGAGGCTTTACTGCGGGGAGAGGGTAACAACTCGTTCCTCGGCCAGGTTGATGCACTGGACTTTTAGATTTAACGTGTTCGAGATACCATTAGCAAGTCCAATTCATTAGCACTCCTGCCTATATATACACGATCATCCATATGCGGAAAGCTTGACATATTTGTAGGTCCCGACATCTCTGGATATAGCCCCCTCGTCGAGAATCTGTATGGGAATTTGGCAACGATCTGCCCTCGGTCGGGATCGCACCTCAAGCACGGCCCTTCGGCATGCCGAACCATCGGGATCGTCGCTGTCAGGGACAGCGACAAACCTTAGATTTGGCGATCGGTTGTACGGAGTATACGTGGTTAGATGATAGTAGGAGAAATGTTATAATCAGGAGAAAGCTGAATCTAGAACATCAAGATCTGCTCTTCTCTGCATGATAATACCTACCCTCCCACTTCGAGGAACGAGTCTCACTCTTTGAGTGATTAATCTACATACAGTCACCCATATTGACAACACGATCTCCGAATGGCTCTGTCCAGACTCCTCGGTTACGAAGTTTGTAGCTTGCCCTAGCTAGTAGTTACTAATTAGGGCCAATGTCGTCATCTATTATGAAAGTCTTTTCCGGTGCCGATATCAAGATGGGCCCGATATGCAGCTCCACTTGGTGTCGATTTCTATCCCGGTTCTCGGAACTAATATTTTTTTCTTATCTCTTGTGTTTCTGCCAGCGTCAAAGCTTTTTATTTGATTTGCATATTTTGAATATACTCTGCTATTGTTCACGCCGGTTATCTCGAGCTATAGAGTGAAACTTTTTTTTTTACCGAGCTTTTAGATACAACCATCGGCAGAGCTCCTCCGTTCGTCTCTATACAACTTGAACAACCTAGGGCAGCACCCAACCCTACGAGATGTCCTCCCTCCCTCGATCCCTCTCGCGCCTCCTGCGCACGCAATCGCCATCAACGGCGACACTCAACCTAAGCCGAACCACAATCCGTACCGCTCAAACACAAGCTACGGCTTCAACACTCAACCAACCCCCTCCCCCTCCCCCTCACCACCACCACCACCACAGCTTCCAACATGCGCACACCAAGCCAAAGCCATCGCCAACCCACAAATCACAACTCCAAAACCAAACTCAACAACCAAAGACCACTGTGATTGAAGACCCAATCTCAACACACCCGCTTCTGCACTCCCTTCGCGCAGATCCAACACTGAAAGAAACCCGCCCGCACCTCTCCATGCCACAACATCTGCGCCCAGCGCACTTCGTCGCGGGAACGCTAGCGGGGGAAAAGAAACTCACCAGTGCGCCGTATATGTTCATCTCGCAGCGCGACACCTCCCCCTCAACATCCCAACCCGAATCCACCACCACCACCTCCTCCTCTTCCCACTACCCCCACGCCACAACCCTCTTCCACACAGGCACGCACATGTGCGGCCACCCTGGCTTCGTACACGGCGGCTTCCTATCGGTCATGTTCGACGAGGTCTTTGCGCATACGGTGTCGCAGGCGTTCCGCAGCGGGACGGGAATGACGGCGAATCTGAATGTGGATTTTCGGAAGCCTGCGCTGCCAGACAGGGTTTATGTGCTGCGCGCGGAGGTTGTCAAGGTTGAGGGGAGGAAGGCGTGGGTTGAGGGAACGATGACGATGTTGGCGGATGGTGCGGATGCAAAGGGGGAGGGTGGGGATGTTATGGTTGCGGAGGCGAGGGCGTTGTTTGTTGAGCCGAAGTTTGCGGAGGTTTGTTTCCCCTTTCCCTATCTTTCAAGTCCATATATGACTCATTGAGCTAACGCTTGTATAGAAGATGGTGCCTGTGTACCGAAATTAGGGCTCGCATTCTTGGATTAGAGAGATACCCTTGCATCTGCTGGCCTGGCGCGTAAAATCATTCGATATAGATATAGACTTAATAGATTATGGATACTCACCGACACAGCTAAAATCAGTGATTTCTATCTAAAATACTATGAGGAACCCCTTTTTGGACTCCTTCCCAAGCTGAAGACTCAGACAGTGAGGCAGTGAAGGGAACGAAAGGAGAAGACACGGCACCCGAATGCAAATAAACCCGCCACACAAAAAAAAAAATTCACCCATGCTCTCGTGATAATTTCCCGGTATTCAAGAATAAAAGAAGAATAGCTAGTATAACATTCGTCCCCGACTGTTCCGGGTCTTCAGTTCCTTCATCGCAATGTGTCACCGCTCAAATTGATTTCGCTTTTTTTTTTCTGCCTCAAATGCCTTCTTCAATCTTTCGAACATTCGAACACAGGACAACGAGGGTGGCTTGCGCCGAATACCAATAGCGCAGCTCAGGAAAGATGGAAAGCACCTTGTCCTTCTTTGATGGCAATAGCTAGTCGCTCGCGAAGGACGTCCAGGGTGCTGTAGTCGGGAAGCTTCAAATAGTTTACACAAGTCATCACACTCGGGAGGTAATCATCGGGTGTGTAAGGGGGTTCGCTTGGGCGACAGACGACAGTAAATATTGGCGTGAGACTCTTGAAGCCTGCAATAGATGTTAGTGGGAGCGCATATTGTGTTACAAAAGAATCTCTCCTCCAATGGGCAATTTGGGGCTTCCTGTAACAAACTGAAGGAAGTCCCGCCGTTGCTGCGTGTCCAATTCGCTCATTGTCTGGAGCAGGTTCCGTACGCTGCGGCTGTCCATATTAAAGCCGTGGTCGGCTTTGATCGAGTCCATCAGGGCTAGGTGGGATAAATCAGTATCAAACAAATGACGGGGTCAATGACAGCACTTACTTTCGATCGTCCAGTCTTCTTCAGCTCTTCCGAACAGCATCACCAGCTCGCTAGGGGTGAAAGTCTGTAGAGCGGAGTAAGGGAAGACTTGCGAAAATCCGGTCCTGAAAGCTTCCACTTGGGCCTGAACGCCACTTCCCAAGGTCATATCCACAACTCTGTCGACATATAGATCGATGTTGTCCATTGTGACCGCAGTATCAGAGCCGTTCTTGATGAGTTCAATGGCAGGATAACCGGGAAGGGTGAAGTCCAGGCTCAAATCCTCAACCCGTACACCGTCCACTTCAACCTCCGTCAAGGCCTGCGTCTTCTGAGCTTTGGATAGGCCTCTTTGTTCAATGGCCTTCTTGGCGTTCGCAAAGCGTTTCAGCATCAGCAAAGACTTTGCAAGATCATGGTCAACAGCCTTGACAGTGCCGAGTGAGGGTGCTACAGTCGAGGAGGTATCGGCGATACGGAAGAAAGCGGGGTTGAAGGAGATATCAATAATCCTGGAATCCAACATCGATCGAGCAACGAATTTACCCAAAGTTTTGAATAGAGACAGTTGCTTCTTTCCAGATTCCGTCGATAGTTGGGCCTCGCTCATCGGGGCGGGGAATAGACCACTGTTTCCAAACGCAAATTCACCCGCACCAGCGCAATCGTTCTCTCGCCACATCTTCAGCTTCTTCTTGGAAAACTCCTTGGAAACTGTCGAGTAGAATTCAAGAGTTGGGCCAAGGCCAGTTCCAACTTCTTCAAAGTATTCAACCTCGAGCACGCTAGGAGAGGAGCCATAAAGTTCCATGACCTTCATAGCCGACTCGAGGATACGGCTTCTTGAAATTCGGACTTTCTGTCGTTGTAGACGGCCCAAAATCGGCCGGTCATCACGTCGATGATCATTACGTCCATCATCCCCGTTTTGAGGGTTATTCCAACGCATCATTGCTCGCGAATAGCCAAAGGCCGTGGACTGAAGGAACAAGTGTCGTGTTTCGAAGGGGAACAAGAAGGGGAAGCAGCGGGCGAGATCTTCGCTCCAGTCGGGAAGACAGCTGCTAGCAACAATGAGAGGCTCTTCAAGTTGCCTGTTAAGCTTGGCCGTAAGCTTGGTATTGATAAACTGGGCCAGGGATTCGGGCTTGACGGCAATGAGATCTTTGGTCTCCGCCAGTATATCATCAAGGGTCGTATTCATATCATGTAACACTCGAAGAAGTCGCAAGATGGACGCGTTGGTCGGATCCTGATTGAGAGAAGACGGCATTCCGAGGTTGCCATTTTGACAACTGCCCCCGGATCCAGTGGAGGTAAGGGTAGATGGTTCCGCTGGCGGCGGGCCTGGCACTCGTCTGAAATTCACGGTGTGAATTGCAGACCAGACGTTCTTCCCTTGAGGGTCGAGATGTTGCCGGTTATGATGAACAGCACGGTAAATAGTTGTGTCACTAGAGATCGGTTGGCCGTCGATGCTGAACTCTATATGCCAGTCTGATGGCGGAGATGCCATGACAGCAGCGTACGAGAATGGACGACCTGCCATTGCTAGAGAACCACCGGCCGCGCCATGCGACGATCGGGACCCTGATGAAGACTTAGACACGGGTGTGGATTGCGATGGAGTTGATACTCGAGTGCCGTCCTCTTTCCGTGCGGTCACTTTCCCTGAAGAGGCTACTTCCATATTCACGGCAGAGGGGTCATGGACATTCTCATCCGACATGTCGTCATCGAGATCGTCGACAATGGCATTGAGCTCTTCATCATCTCCTCCATCGTCATCGTCATTTTCATCCTCACTCAGATGGTGCTCATCAGCGCACTCCAGCGGCGCGTCCTCATGGTCATTATCAGAATCTGGATGTTGTCCGGGACGTCTAGATTGAGAGCCTGTATCCGGTCTGCCGTTCAATGACTCTGTAGCGTTACCCCTCCCGGCATTTCCGCTTCTAGTACTACCCGACGGCCGTGACAGGGGAGGAAGCCCGCTGGAATTCGAATTGTTGTTCTCACCTAGCTGGTCACGGAGGCGGGCCGCATTTGCAATCTTAGAAAGAATGGCGTCTCGGCTGCGGGAGGCCTTGGGACGGTCTGACAAACTAATCCTGGGGTGGAGGAAGTCATCCAAGGATTTGAAAGTCGCAATGGCGTGGATAGAGACCATGATATTTCGGTATGACCGGGGAATATCAGAATTCTCGTCGGCGGCAAGCTTGAGGCGAAGCTGCTTCCCGAGCATGTAGGCCGCGTTGCTACGCGTGTTCTCTAGGGAGTTGTGGCCCACAGTCATGACTTCAAAATGTTCCGTTCGACTCAAGAGATCTTGGAGTTTGTTTATTAGGACACCGAAGGGGGTTGTCGCCGTACTCTGGCTTAGAGCTCTTTCCGATATGGTTGAACCCATGAATGCCTGAAGAAAAGCGCTGCGAGCTTCTCGCATGGATGCTGCTGGGAAAAGCGTTAGCTCAAGTTTAACCATATTTGTCAAAGAGAACGCGGCACATTAGAGCTTTACTGACCTTTGGAATCGTCGAACAAGCCGAGCAACGTATCAACAATGCCAGAGTTGAGAAGCTCAGAGCTAGTGATACTTTCCAGCGCATCTCCTTCAAAATAGGCCGCCAATTTGCGGAAGAGGGCAAGCCCATCCCCATTTCGGTGACCAAATCCCGAATAACAAGTTTCAATATCAGTAACGAGGGCTTGAAGCTGGTGCAGGATTTCCAAGGCTTTGTCTCGCATTGCTCCACCTTGACTCGCTTCATAACTCTCCATGAAGGTACGTGCATCGCGGATCACGCGGTCATTTCCATCTTGCACCCTGGTCGAGTATCCTTGCCCGGAGGAAGAAGAGGTCTCCGAGTCAGAGATGTCGTCGTCGTTATCATCGTCTTGGTCGTCTTCGTTGTCCTCAGAGTCATCAGCCTCATCGTCATGACCGTCATTCTCCTCTTCATCTTGACTATCCTCATCTTCTGCGTTCTCGGGGTAACTGGAGGTAGGGGGAACGGCAGCATCCGCCGCTGGACGATCCTCTGAGGTATCCATGACCGAGGCGGCAGGAGAGTCACGAGCGGTCTTGGCTTGCTTCTCACTTGACAGTTGCTCCTCAGCAATTTTCATGATTTCAGAAATCACCCCCTCGCGATGAAATTGGTGTTGGTAAACATGCTCCAAGCGTTGGAAGAGTAGTTCTGCGCAGCGAAGGGCGTATGAAACCAGAGAAGGGTGGTCCTTTTGGGACAGAATAGCTGCCAGGAATGACGCGTAGTGAACGGACCGGAGAGCTTCCTCAATCAACCCTGCATCTAAGTTTTGCAACATTTTGAGCTGTGCAATCAGAACTTTCTGGCGAACCTCAAGGTTGACGGTGCTAGAATAGGCATCGGTTAGGGTTGGCAGCAAAACCAAGGCAAACCGTCGCAGCTCTGTTTTGCACTCCATCAAAAGAGACCGTCGTTTCTCGGCTGATCCTTTCGGTAGAGGTGGCTTGAAGTCCGATGTCGTATGAAGTTCGGGGTACGGCGTTAGAGCAGGGGCACCTTCAGAGTCGTGACGACTAGACACGCCTGGTAGAAGCTCGCAAATCACATTCAGTGTTTCCGAGACCTGTTCTTTTGGTCGATGAATCAAAGCTTGCATCACAAGGACACTATCCATCTTGACAGCTTGGTCCTCAAGATTGTCTGGTGGCGACACGCCGGTTAAAATTTGATAGAGTGTGTCGACCACATCTGTTTTGAGAAGCTCGACTGACAATCGTGGGCTTGCTTTCGATGTAAGGGCCAAGACACGGAGGAATTGTGTATGAATGTGGGGTCCGATAAGATTGGTGGTGCCAGGTAGGAGCAAACGAAGGACAGCCCTGAGCATTGCGGGGCTAATCAGCTCCTCTAGTTTCTCCGGCTTGTGCTTGAAACTTTCCACGATTCGAGAAACACAGAGGCAACCCTGCTCGACTACCTTCGGGTCGTTGCTGGAGAGAACATTGAGAAGCGTGGGCATGACATCCCGGACGACTGGAAACGAATCATGAGGCAAGTTTCGGCAACAATTGGCAGCCGTTGTCACTGCGGTTCTCTGGGTACTTGTGGGGAAGAAGTCGAGGTAGGTCAAACACGCCGTCAAACCACCTTCTCGGACAATAGACGCGGGGAAATCAACTGAGATCTTCGCAAGAGTCTGTGTCCAAGATTAGCATTGCTGAACGTTCCAGGGGCGGGACAGCATCTTCCAAAGCAGACAACAGAAGAGAACTTACACTGAGAGCCTGCTCAGCTAAGTCAATGAATTGAATATCCAACAGCTTCTGGCACAGAATTGGTACAGCGCCCCCGTACACAACATTAGCCACTGAGCCACGTAAAGCTTCCATCAGGTTGGCCAAACAGCGGCAAGCAAGGAGCATAATCTCTGGGTTTTCTTCCCCGAAGTCATTTGGCTGCATAAGAGACACCAGCTCCTTTACGTAGGGGTCGGGCGAAAACTGGCCAGATAGGTTGTCTTCGTTCGATACAAGTAACAGGTCCGAGAGCTCCTGAAGAGCGATCAGTTGGATAGACGGATCATCCTTCATTTTCAGATTTTGCAAAATATCTCGCAGACGGGATGACATGCCCGACATCATACCACTGAGGGCACGAAGGGTGCTCTGAAGCCCGAGGGCGCTCCGTGATCCAAACAGACTGTTATGGAAAAGATCACCATCATCCTCCTCATCATCGTCATCATCAAGGCCTGAAGGATTCGTGCCATCATGGCTGTCGCTATGTGGCGAAGGCTCGCGGTCCTCGCCCCTCTCACGCAGCTCAGATTCCTCATCCGCTTCCTTCATGACAACATCAGGACGGGCTCTCGAAGAACGCTTCTTCTGGCGGTGAGGAGGTGGTGACTGGGTAGTCAAAGACCGGTCTAGAGAATAGTGTCAATTCGTTTAGTTTTGCAAAATGCAGGATAAGCACTGCCTTCTTGCAGTTCCTTACCTTGTGACACCTTTCCATGACGAGTAGACTTTCTTCTCTGCTGCGGGGGCGAGGCTGATTTTCGCGAGGACTCCTCGTCGGGATGTGACGATGGGCTATGAACGAAGGCCAAGTAAGCAAACTGCATCCTCAAAATACCAGGGTAAAGTATCCAACCTACCCGGGGTGGGACATAGCTGGACGGCTTCGGGCACCACGGCGAGAAGCGGCAGGGACGGTGGTCGCTTTGGGCGAAGCAGCACGCCGCTGTCGCTTAGACCTCCGATGGGGGGATTGATTGTTCGGCTGCTCTGAGGAGTCTGGTGATCGGTCGGGGCGTGCGGGGGCTTTTCGCTTGCGTGTTGGAGCCGAACCAGCGGCGGGGGCTGACGGAGAAGGGGCGGAACCGACGGACGGAGGGGAGTCTGCAGCTAGTCTCGCGGCCGAGCGAGTAATTCTGGAGGACATGAGAAGCTGAGCACTTGGAGAGCACGGAAGAAAATGAGTAATAAGAAGGATGGGGTAAAGCGTATGGCCGTGTGGGGTAGCCGCTGGGGATAAGCGACGGCGATTTGCGTGAAACAAGGGAAAGGGATATCCAGCAAACGTGGGTAGCGATTGATTGATGGGTGTGGTGTCTCAGATGTGCCAAAGGGGTGAACGATCAATGCGTCCAGGAAATTGTTCGAGGTCTTGCAGGTGAGATGCCGGAGCCGCAGCACCAGCAGTGAAAGCAATGAACGCGAATCAAAGCATCCGAGGGGCGATGGGACCAGCGCGGGGTAGCAGGAAAAGGGGGTTCTGGTATGTACCTGGTGGCAGTAGCGGAGGCACCAGCAGAGGAGGATAGTCGGCGAGAGTCCTCAAGAGGGTCCTGGCGGTGAAAGTTGGGCCTTTGCCTGGCCATATGTTAATTGCTTGGGGAAGCAAGGCAGGAAGGGCTCGCTGGTCATGCAGCGCCGTTCAGCCCGCCATCCGTTACGCTGACAAGGGCAAGACAGATAGCTGGTCGAAAGCGAGGCTATTCCGATCGTTCGTTGGGGAGGGGGCAGGAGGGGTGACTGATAGGCTCAGAACACCATCGATAGGAGGTGGACGGGCGGATGCAGAGCAGCGAAAAAGCAATCAGTAATAATAGCAACTGAAATGAGCGGCGAACAAATGGATTATGATGACACAAGTGACAAGATGCAGTCGCGAAAAAAAGCTGTGGCTGCACAAGGTTGAGATGGAGGAGAGATGGAAGCGAGAGAGAGAGTCGACGCTTAGCCTCGTTGACGTGGTTGGCGTTGGCGGTCGTGACGCTGGCCGAAGTCCGGGGACCAACAGACCTCCAAGGTGCATAAATTTTGTATGTATCCACAAAAGTTACTTGTCAACATATAAAAATCATGCCTTATTCCAGTGATACTTTATATTATTGTATGTTATGATAACTGTTTCTAGTTGTGTTTGCCTGTCGGTTTTGACAATGCGATAGCTGAACCACTCAAAAGGGAATCATGCTCTAGAGATAGGTCCTCCTTATAAAACTTTTTTACAATCGCTTATCAGATTCGTTGAGATCAGACTGGTTTGTTTGTTTGCCCTCTAGTTTGATAGATCAGCTACTCGTGAACCAGTTTGGTTAAATGATGATTCAGTTCGACATAATAGCGCGGATATATATTTCTGTTGAAAGAAACGCTTCAACATCGGTTCATATACTAAGGTGCATAAACTACGCCCAGTAATCTCCGACTCCGACTAGAAACAGATAGCGGACGTTGATTGAGCATAGCCTAAGCCTTCTAGCCCGTATAGTGGCTTGCGGCTTGAGAGCGAACACCAAGTGCTGCTGAAGCCAACATAGGTCAATCTTCTAGACAAAAAAGCCTTGCGCGGTAAATCGGAGTAAAGACGAGATTCGACTAGTGTCTCTTGAGATTGCAGTGGGGTAGTTCAAAGACATCCCCTCAACCTTGTTGCCCGGATTTTCGCGAGGTTGAAGAGATCCCGGAGTATACTCCGAGATAGACAGGGTCACGTGTGGGATACTGTGGTCATCATACAGGCTGCAAAGATGGACACAAGGCAAAGTTCTGACATAGTATGAGGATCGAAAGTGTTTCCAATATTACCCTGCACAGCAGGCTTGGTGATTAATTATCAATGGAAGGCAGCAGCTGAGGCAGAAATGAGGTGATCGCAACTGCTCTCCGAGGGCCAGAATGGGAACAGGCCCGCTTCGCTCCGGCGAAAATTCCCCTCCTTCCCCCACACTGCGGCTGACTAACGGTCCCAACTCTGCCCGCATCCAGCCTCTGTCTTTCCTGAGTTCCGAACAGTCATCTCCCTTCTTATTTTCAACACTCCCAGGGTTACTCTACACTCTCGATACTTAACTGAACGTAGACTACAACTTTACCGCCTCTCTCTTTGAACACTAGGCGCACATCCGACTTCACAACCATGACCGGCACCGCCCAAGCCTTGGGCAATGGTGCCCCTCGAACACTTACGCCGCCCGCCCCTGCGACCCCTACCGAAGACTACGTCTTCCCTGAATATCGCCTGAAGCGTGTGATGGACAACCCGGAAAAGACACCCTTACTTCTAGTGGCATGTGGATCCTTCTCGCCGATTACCTACCTCCACCTACGCATGTTCGAGATGGCCGCCGATTACGTCAAGCTAAGCACGGATTTTGAGCTTATCGGAGGGTATCTCTCACCAGTCTCTGACGCCTACCGTAAGGCTGGTTTGGCTAGCGCGGAGCACCGGTACGTCATAAATATATGTTTGAACTCATTTTCATCGTTGAAATCGAAGCTGACGCGGACGGTCTCATAGAGTAGCAATGTGCGAACGAGCGGTTGATCGGACATCTAACTGGTTGATGGTCGATACTTGGGAACCGATGCACAAGGAATATCAGCCGACTGCCATCGTGCTAGATCATTTCGACTACGAGATCAACACTGTGCGACAAGGGATTGAGACCGGAGATGGCTCAAGAAAGCCGGTTCAGGTTGTCCTATTGGCTGGAGCCGACCTGGTTCACACCATGTCCACGCCCGGAGTGTGGAGTGAAAAGGACCTTGACCACATCCTCGGAAAATATGGGGTATGTGAGGACTGAACTGTTGGGTAATGATATGCGCTAACCCCAATTCTAGGCTTTCATCGTCGAACGAAGTGGAACAGACATTGACGAAGCACTCGCTGCTCTGCAGCCCTGGAAGAGAAATATCCACGTCATCCAGCAGTTGATTCAAAATGACGTTAGTAGCACAAAGATTCGCTTATTCCTCAGACGAGACATGAGCGTCCGCTACTTAATACCGACTGCTGTGATTGAGTACATCGAACAGAATGGCCTGTACAGGGAAGATGGAAGCACCCAGGCAGCAGCCGAGAAGGGCAAGGAACCTGCAACATCAGCCTAATTGTCTTATCTCTCTTGTTCTCGTACGCGATTCTGGGGATGATGTGCACGCAAGGACTCCAGAAACTATATGCTCTCGCGCGCTAGTTCGCCAGCTCCGAGTTGTCTTCCACTACGCGCTACAGACTGCAGGGCGCATATAGTGGCCTTCATTTGTTGACTTTGTTGTCTACGGCTCTGCTGACATTGCTGAATTGACCACTGTTGTCATAACTTAATCGGCGCTTTTGGACATGGCAAGATGCTTCCTGGTTCTGAGAGACTAACTGTTTTTTCACCACAAAATCAACCTGGCTGGGACAGTGATCGGAAAGGAGAAACACTCTAGCTGGTCTCCATATCCCGCTACAATCTTCCATGGTCATGTCCATCTTACCACTGATGCGTTCCACTGTTGATTTCACTCACGTTATTGTCCGTTTACGGCGTTCAATGCTTACGATTTACGCACTAAGATGATTATCTGCGTCTGGAGGTTTTTTTCTTCTTTTTTTGATTATTCGCTTTTGAAGTTATACCCTTCCTGTTTTCATGTACCGATACTGATACTCTCAGATAGACTAGGTAGATCTAGACCTCGCAGCTGGACCAGTCCGGCGAATGTACATATAGAAGGTCAGAATACCAGAAAAGATCATCGCAAAGAAAAAAAATGCTCTAAAAAAAAAGAGAAAGAACGCCGCCAATGAAACAACTTGAGCGAAAACCGCCTGCCCACTCTATAGGTATGGTATAGAGAACCAAAAATCTAAAAGGCAATCTATGCAATTCATCCTATCCACCAGGAACCTTTTGAATTTTGTATAGGTATGCAACTAGAAGGAGAGTCTCCGCCCAAAAAACAGCAAAATCATATGAAAGAACGATATGTGTATGTGGAAAATAGATGGAAAGTCAAGAAAATTGTTGGTAGATCCTTGGATGAACAATGAAGAGTGCACAAAGAGGAAAATAAGATATAGACAGCATAAGGGTAAAAGTAGGAGCAGAATCATATACATCGTGACAGCGGGCGGACAGAGGGATACAGACAGGGTATATTGGCCTCCCGGGTTAGTAGTTGTTTATCTAGATAAGAAAACATGTGCAGACAACAAAAATGCAAGATGCAATTGAAGTCGGTTGGAAGGCGCGGCGCATTGGGGCGATTAGTGGGCAAAATATTAGGTAACCTCAGATCGGAGCAGACCAGATGAGATCAGATCAATCATCGCAATTCCCCCAGAGATCCTCAGCCTCGAGAACACCAATACACTCAGCCGCATTGCGGCCGCGTGTGACGCCAATAACACTGACGGACGAGTCACTTGGCACGAGCCGCCGAGCATCCTCAATTGTGCAGGAATCCGGGATAAGAAGCCAATCCTTCCGCGAAACAAAGTACGGGGCTCCCAGATCCGCGAGCGAGGAGATATCCATGTCAATATAGCTCCCCTGCGAGAGGAAGCGGAGCTGGCGCGGCGGGATGATCTCAGACGGGGAGACGAAGACCCACGATTTCGCGTTCGGATGCTGGATTGCTGTGAGGAGGACGTCAAGTAGTCGGCCTTTGCCGGACGAGGAGACGACGGTGGGGATCTGGCCGAGAGGCGTGATTAGGTCGGTTATGAGGGGGCGGCTGAGGTGTGGAAATTCTTCTTCCTGTACGCCGCCGGCGAAGGGTTGGCGGACGGGGAGAAAGTCTGAGGGCGTTGATGTAAAGGAGACAGTGGACATGCTCATTGGCGTGGAGGCGGTTGAGGCGGCTCCGATTGCGCCGCCGGGGTGGTAGCTTTTGAAGACCTCTGCCGGGCCTCGTCCCGGCGAGGTATGGAGCCTGCGGGCAGTGGCGATTGCTAGGGCGTCGCCGAGAGAGAGGGCCACTGTTGTTGAGGATGTTGGAGCGCAGACGCCAATGGATGTCTCTTCGTCCTCGTGGATTGGAGCTGGGAGGAGAATGCCCATGTCGGAGGGGTGGAATGACAATAAAGGGCATGTGGAGGGGTGCAGATGAGAGGTGATTGCGATAACAGTGACGGTTGATGGTATATGCGGAAGAAGTAGCAGCAATTCCGGAGTACGTCCGGAGAAAGAAATTAACAAAAGGGTATCGTTCTAGAGAGCTCAAGGTTAGTTGCGAGCTTGTATAGATAAATTTGCGGGAAACATACCGGCCGGATCATGCCTAGGTCTCCATGCAACGCCTCCGTCGGATGTAAAAATGTGCTGTAGATTCCCAAGCTGTTCATAGTCGCCTCGAGCTTCTGGGCAATCTTCCCGCTCTTCCCAACGCCGCAACAGACGAGCTTGTTACCATTGCGGATTGTGCGCGCAATCTGGTCCACGGCGCGGGCAAGATGATCCTGGGCGAGCTGGTCCGTCTGATACAGACGCTCGAGATGCGCCAGAGCAGCGCGCTCCGTGGAGATCACATGTATAGCTGTGGTAACAGAGGCAGCATCCTTCGGGACAGGCAAAACATCCGCGGGCTCAGGAGGGGTCAGTGGAAGGCGGGAAAAGTCGTCCTGGAGAGATGCGCTGGAGGGCGCCATTGCGGCGGAGAGGGGGATGCGATACTGTTGCTTGAGGTGGCCCATGGTCAAGATGGCATTCTCGGAGGATGTGAAGAAGAACAATCCGACTCCTCCAGGGGAGCAGACCTGAGGAACGGCCTCGGATTCAGGTGGTAGGAGTCAAAAGGGCGAGGGAGGAAGTGGAGGAGGGGCAAAGCCTCCGGAAGACGAGACTCGAAAGGGAAGTGGGGAGCAAAACGCCAAAAAACGCCCTATCAACCATCGGATATCGGCGGTATGGGAAGGGTCGGAGATAAAAAATATCCGTTTTCGCAGTGGTCTTGATTGATAATCTTCAAATAAGAGTCACTGCTTGAGATGCCTTTGAAACATCCGTAGATTCTCCAGGAATAGTTCGGAGTAGATGAAGCAGGCTAATGCATGCATTTCAATTTTTGGCGAGCAAATCACCTCATCGGAGGCGATTCTGATGCTACGCCTAGTTGAAGCGATCGTTCCCCCACTCGGCGATAAACGATTAGCCTATGGGAAAGAACAGTCCGATAAGATGGAGGTTTGGACAGATTCAAACAGATTCAATTAATGTACAATGTCTATTAGACGCTAGTATACACGATCATCTCTGAATGCAACCCCCGCCCGGAGGGTCAATCAAGCCTTGGTCAGTGGCTTGATTCCTTTGTGAATTGCGGCAATCCCGCCCGTGAGGTTCTCAAAGCCTCGGCCGGGGATCATGAAGCCCGCCTTTTGAATCATTCCCCTGAACTCCTCCTGGCTTGGGAACTTCTCGATACTCTCAACGAGATACTGGTAGCTCTCTCGGTCGCCCGCAACCAGCTGGCCGATCAGAGGAATGGCGCTGAAGCTCCAATTTTTGTAAACTGCATTGAACAAAGCGTTGTCGACCTTGCTGAACTCCATGCAGGCGAAGACACCGCCTGGCTTCAACACTCGGTGCGCTTCCACCAGGGCGGCCTGCTTATCCGTAAAGTTGCGAATGCCAAAAACCACAGTATAGAGGTCGACCGAGTTATCCGGTATCGACGGCATGTGCTCCGCATTGCCTTGCATGAAGGAAAGTCGATCCGAGTTATAGTAGGGCGTCTCGATACTGCGCTTCTTTCCCTCCGCAAGCATCTCAGCATTGATATCGGCGATTGTGACACGGGTGTTGAGGTCGTGGTTGATGTTCGTCGCGTGGTCCAGCATGCGGAACGCGATGTCGCCGGTTCCACCTGCGATGTCTAGGATATTCCAGCCTTGACTAGGGTTGTCACCATCGCGGGAGGGAAGGGCGGAACCGGGGTTCAATGAGCGAACGAAGTGGTCTTTCCATAGGCGATGAATTCCGAGCGACATGAGATCGTTCATCGTGTCGTATGATGAGGCGACTGAGCTAAAGACATGGCCAACTGAAGCAATAACGCCTGGTTAGTTGCAACCGCGGGAAGGAGTTGAATAGTTGCGCGCATATAACATACCCATTGACTCTTTCTTCGACTCTGGGACGTTCGAGAAGCCGAAATGGGTCATTCGTTCCTGATCGGACTTGGGGTCGGCCAGGCTCTGTCGGGAGCAGGAAAAGCACCGGTATGAAGTATCAGCCAGCGCGACTCGTCGCCGAGAGGCAAGATGTAAGCTCCTCCATAATGATCTGGACGACATGATTGCTCTGTGAAAGTGTAGGGCGCGAGCGGTTGGAATGCGAGGAGGTTAAAGCGACCGAGTGAGCTCCGCAAGATTCAAGGACTGGGCTGGCTGGACCGAAAATTGTTTGCCGCCTGAGGCAACAAGGCATTAAGGCAAATAACCTTGACTGGCTGAGCTCCCATCTCACTCCTTAGCAACTGTTGCACGAATTGCTCGCGTCTCGGTCAGGATGCAAGGAATTGGTCTTTTGGCTCGTTTGAAGCGACACTTTTATCTATATAGTCCCAGAGAGTTGTGATAGCCAGTCAGTCGAGTCGAGTTTGTGACACTCCGTTGATGCAGGAAGGGTCACGCAAACATGCTTGTCTCTGCTGATCTCCCACCTTTCCCCTCCTTCACCTCGTTCATTGTACTTTCTACATTCTTTAAGTCCAAGGAAGTGGGGGAATAATATGTGATGCTTTGTCTTTCTCACTTTCAACCCCTTCAATCCTAGTGCAACTTCTCCACCATCCGCTTGGTTGAGACCCAAGTACGGTCGCGACGAAGATGCATTACCAAGATATAGCAACACAGGCCCTCTTGGCCTCCACTATGGCCACAGGTTCAGGGCAATATATCTTGGATTTGAGCGGCGATCAATGGACCCTGAGTAGCCCCGCGATTAATTCCACCGTGCCGGCGTCTCTACCGTCTCAGGTTCATCTGGACCTGCATAGGGCGGGGTTAATAGGTAAACACCATGAACCCCGCTTGATTCCAGTACTTCTGACATGCACCTAGACGAGCCGTGAGTCTTGAACAAAGTGCACGTTACTAGGGGATTACTCACCATCTCAAGCTACCATGGCCTGAACGATCTTAACCTTCGTTGGATCGCCGAAACCAACTGGACTTACACAAGTGACCCAATTCCTGGGTTGTACGTGGCTCTACTATTGATTGAGGTCAACGAGTCTGACATCCAGCAGATTGAGTGAATTCGAGTCTACTTGGCTTGTGTTTGAAGGTCTAGACACGTTTGCAACCGTCTCTTTCTGCGGGCATCACATTGCCTCTACAGATAACCAATTCCGCCAGTATGCTTTCGAAGTCTCACAGTCTTTACGAGAGTGCAACGGGGACCCGGTGATAAGCATAGATTTTGCAAGCGCTCCGAATACCGTCAACGCAATCGCTGCAGACCATAGTTCAGAAAGTGTGTACAAGCAAAGGTGCTACTGCGCCTTATCAAAGCTTATGCTGACAGTCCTTAGCGTGGCCCGTCAATATCAACGGTCTATTTCCAAATCGGTGGTTTATGCGTAAAGAACAATCCGATTTTGGTTGGGACTGGGGCCCTGCCTTTGCCCCAGCTGGGCCATGGAAGCCAGCGCGCATCGTCCAGTTGCAGAGCAGGAATATCCATGTTGTTAACACGGACCTGGACATCTACAGAAAGGGTCAGATCAACTATCTTTCACCGGACCAAGAACAACCATGGGTTGTCAATGCTAGCCTTGATTTCGTCGGTAGCCTCCCCAGACGCCCGCGTCTGTTCGTTGAGATCAGGGATATCGAATCCGGTGAACTTCTCGCAGGACAGCTCTCCCGAGATGTTATGGTGACTGAAAGCTCAATCACAGGGGTAGTAGATCTCACTGGCATCACGCCAGAGCTGTGGTGGCCATCTGGCCTTGGGAACCAGCATTTGTATAACATCACAATAACTGTCGACAGCGATGATGGGGAAATAGCTCGCGTCACTAAGCGAACTGGATTCCGGACAATCTTCCTCAACCAACGCAATGCCACTGATAGTCAGCGAGCTCAAGGAATAGCCCCTGGGGCGCACTGGCATTTTGAGGTAAACGGAAAGGAGTTTTATGCGAAAGGCTCCAATCTCATTCCTGTTGATGCGTTCTGGCCGCGAGTGACCACCGAGAAGATGACAAGGTTATTTGATGCAGTTATCGCAGGGAACCAAAACATGCTCAGGGTGTGGTCGTCGGGTGCATACCTGCATGACTTCATTTACGACTTGGCAGACGAGAAAGGGATTCTTCTATGGAGCGAGTTCCAGTTCAGCGATGCCATGTATCCTGTGAGAGAAGAATTCCTGAATAATGTTGCCCAAGAGGTAGTTTACAATGTGCGCCGAGTGAACCATCATCCATCTCTCGCTCTGTGGGCAGGCGGAAACGAGATTGAAAGTCTGATGCTTCCACAGTCGAGGGAACTCGATCCAGAGAACTATCCGAGGTACGTGGAGGAATATGAAAAACTATACATCAGCCTCATCCTACCGCTCGTGTATGAAAACACGCGCTCCATCTCCTACAGCCCCAGCAGCACAACGGAAGGGTACCTAAGCGTCAACCTTTCTGCGCAAGTCCCAATGACCGAGAGGTACGAAAATCGCGAAGCCGGATCCTACTACGGCGACACAGACTACTACAACTACAACACCACCGTCGCCTTCAACTACTCCAACTACCCCGTCGGTCGCTTCGCCAACGAATTCGGCTTCCACAGCATGCCCAGTCTCCAAACCTGGCAGCAAGCCCTTGACCCCGCTGACCTCCACTTCAACAGCAGCGTCATCATCCGCCGAAACCGTCATTACCTGCCCCAAGGCCCAGACTCCTGGGAAGGTTCAGTCCTCGGCATGGGCGAGATGACACTCGCCGTAGAGAAATACTACCCGATCTCCGAAAATCAAGACCCCATTGCGAATTTCTCGGCCTGGTGTCATGCCACGCAGCTCTTCCAGGCGGACTTTCATAAGTCTCAGATTCAGTTCTACCGTAGGGGAAGCGGGATGCCGGAACGGCAGCTTGGATCGCTTTATTGGCAGCTGGAAGATATTTGGCAGGCGCCTACGTGGGCGGGGATTGAGTATGATGGTCGATGGAAGGTGATGCACTACGTTACGAGGGATGTATATCAGCCTGTTATCATCTCTCCTTTTTGGGACTATGCCACGGGAGATCTTGAAGTCTACATTACGTCTGATTTATGGGAGTCGTCGACGGGAATTGTGACTCTAAAATGGTTGACTCTTTCTGGAGATGAGATGGCGAATAACGCTGGAACACCCACTACACTCTCATTCAACGTCGGCGCTATCAACACAACTAGGGTCTACAGTACAAATATCCGAGACCTCAACATCCCAGAGCTCAAAGACTCAATCCTCCTTCTCTCCGTTTCTAGCCAAGGCCATTGTCCGAACTCCGAAGATGTCACCACGTTCACACACGAGAACTACTTCACACCAGTCTTCCCAAAAGATCTAGCCATAGTTAACCCCGACCTCGAGCTCTCATACGACGACGAAACCGAGGTCTTTACAGTGGAAGCTAAATCGGGCGTGTCTCTATATACATGGCTAGACTACCCAGCTGGCCTGGTGGGATATTTCGACGAGAACGCCTTCGTGCTTATCCCCGGGCAACGTAAAGAGATCGAATTTGTTACGCAAGTGGATGGCAAGGACGGAGAGTGGCAGAGGAAGGTAACCGTACGGAGTCTTTGGGATCAAAGAGCGACATATTAGCTTTTTTTTGGACCTGTGGTTGAGCTGGTTAGGGTTAGTTGCGAAGTCTGGTCCATCTCAATCTACCCGACGGAATCCTCTCTAGTCTCGATTTCTCAGGATCTCGGGTACACGACAGACCCTGCTGGTTTTGGAGGATGGGTCTCAAATAAGAACATTATATTGCTTCGTCTACTTCGATCTTGAGCAGCGAGAGCGGTGTCGACGCCTCATTATCTTGATGGAAGAGTGACTCAGCGGAAAGCCCTGGTTGGCAATGAAGCACTCTCCACATATTTTCAGCGTTGGTAGTAATTTCATATGCTATTGTTCTTGGGTAATTATTCTCCAAGCGACTATGGTAAACAAGGCAAGTCAGGTGACAGGGGTGTTCCTTTACATATCTAGTTGCCTGCTTATTTCCCATCGTTCACTCTTCCAGCCCCTAACCACGCTCTTTGCGACAATGTCCCAGACTCTAGAGCTTGGCAGGGTCACGCCATCATCTGCGACACAAGATGTAGCAACTAATCATACCTCTTTGATTCTTACTGGTGTTGACGATGCCAATAACGCGCACGCAACCACCGCCCCCCCTGGGGAGCACAGGCCAAAGGAGCCTCCTCGCCCCACCAGCGCGGCCATTGCCTTGACCATGATGTCGCTCTGTCTCTCATGCCTGCTATCCGCCCTCGACCTCACAATTGTCACCCCCGCAATCCCCTCCATCGTCAGCGCATTCCAATCCTCATCCGGCTACATATGGGTCGGCAGCGCTTACACGCTGGCCCACGCGGCCATTACCCCAGTCTGGGGAGCGGTATCCGATATTTGGGGGCGGAAACCAATCATACTAATTGCAATGACTGTTTTTCTCGGTGGCAGTCTGGTTTGTGCACTTGCGCGGCATATGGAAACTCTCATCGTCGGTCGGGCATTGCAGGGACTCGGTGGGTCTGGTATGGGGACCATGGTCAATATCGTCGTCTGTGATTTGTTTTCGCTGCGGGATCGCGGGCTGTATCTGGCTATCACGTCGCTTGTCTGGGCGGTTGGGAGTGCCGTGGGGCCGGTATTGGGGGGCGTGTTTACGACGAGATTGAGGTATGGATTCGCTGGACTTTGGCAAGGGCAACTGCTGATACATATGATGTAGCTGGAGGTGGTGCTTCTGGATCAATCGTGAGATGGTCTTCCCCTTCTAAAAACTGGGAACTGACAGCTAGTTATAGTACCGGTCGGGGCTGTCTCGTTCCTCGTCCTGCTCTTCTTCATGAAAGTCCCCAACCCACGCACTCCCATCGCAGCCGGACTGAAAGTCATCGACTGGACAGGCAGCGTCCTGATAATTGGCGGGTCCCTGATGGTCCTCCTGGCGCTCGACTTTGGTGACGTCGTCTACTCCTGGTCATCGGCAACGGTCATCTGTCTGCTCGTTTTCGGAACCGCAGTCATGGGCCTCTTCATCGTCAACGAGTGGAAGATGGCGAAGAATCCGATTATCCCCCTTTGGCTGTTCAGCTCTCCCTCAAAGGCAGCACCCTACGTTGTTTTTGCGTGCAACTCCTACGTCTTCATTGGACAGGCCTATTACCTTCCGCTATATGCTCAGTCCGTTCTCGCAGCATCCGCATTGACATCGGGACTATACCTCCTTCCCCTCATTGTATCATGTTCCTTGGTAGCAGCAGCAACGGGAGTCTTCATACAGCAAACAGGCAAGTATCTGCCCGTCATGTACCTCGCGCAGGGATTCTTGGTCCTCGGATCCGGCCTGCTTGTGAGCCTCGACTTTGAATCCAACATCACCAAGCTCGTCATCTTCCAAATCCTAGTCGGGATCGGCGTGGGCATGAACATCGATGCTCCAATCCTCGCTGCCCAAGCCGCGACAAGCGTGCGCGACACGGCCGCCGTGACGGCAACCATGGGCTTCGTCCGGTCTCTTTCTACAGCCGTCTCCGTTGTCGTTGGCGGAGTGGTCTTTCAGAATGAGATGAACGCGAAGAACGACGGGCTTGCGAGTTCGCTTGGAGAGAACTCGGCCCTGGCGCGGCAGTTTAATGGCGATCTTGCTGCTTCCAGCGTGGAGGATATTGGCACCAGCGGTCTAAGCGGAGAGCAGGAGACTGTCGTTAGAAAGACATATTTCGAGGCTTTGAGGATAGTTTGGGTTATGGTAGGCTACCCGGTTCTTGCACTCCCTGTCTTTTACTGTTATATGCTAATAATATGTCCCGCTTCACAATAGTATGTTGTATTCGCCGGGCTAGCAACCATCCTCAACCTGTTTGTACGAGCGCATAAGCTCCGTGATGAGAATGAGGGCGCGGTGTTGGGAGCTGACCGGGCTCGCCCACAAGCTCCTTCCAGAAATGAAGTTGAAGGGATGGAATTGCAAGTTGGTCGAGGCAATTGTCATTGACTCTTACAAATCAATGAGAAATAGCCCTTTTCTTGCAAGGTCAAAGTAAAGAGGAATGCTGAAGCATTCATTTATCGTCAGGCGGTGGTGTAATAACAACCCCTTGTTCCTGAGAGTATATAGATGATGTCCCTGTACCTAAATCTTTGCAACGAGGTTGATCTGGTTTGAACCTGAGACATCGAACCAATGTCAAATACAAATGTTATATATACAGCTAGCCAAGTTGCGCAAAGTAGGCCATGGCAGTCCTCAAGCGTGATCTGGGTTCTCCAGAGAACTTGACAAATAGTCACAAGATGGCTACGCTTTCTCCCTCAGAGATCAAGAATAGGACAGGTCGGAACTCTCAACAATGAAGAGACCCCGTTGGACTGGATACCTTGAGCGCAGGATTTGACCTGACCTGGTCTACCGGGCATCAACAGAGCGGGCGATGCAATGTTATCGAGCGTGATCCCGGTCTGGGGACTCACTAGCGGCTGATACTATAGCAATCACCGCGACCAACGTCACGGGTGTTTTGCCAACTGGCGGCCATTGTAGTTCGTCAGCGACAGGCGCTAGCCTCGTTCCTTCGCATTCTGCTGAGTAGAACCCAATCCACACAAAGTGCGACTGGACCGGATGGATCCAGAAGCCCTTTCCTAAAGCAAGGCAGGCAGGAGCACAGTGCGGCGGGCGCGGGCGGTCGTTCCTTCCTTTTAGGGTAGGTAGGCTCAGTGAATCAGCTCAGTGAATCAGCTCAGTGAATCACCCCAAGGAAGGCGCGACCCACGCGCCCGGATCATTGCATCTTCCTGATATGGAACAGGAAGGAACATGATGGTCCGAGGTCACAGGTCGTTCCTTCCTGATAGACATGGACTTTGAAGATTAGGGGTCCCCTCTTCGCTCCGCGAAACATGGCAAGTTGCAAAGGCCTTCGTTGGGATGGGATGCGCGGCCACCCCACCCCTTCCAATTACTTAATCCATCTCAATAACAACAAGCCGCGGCTTGGGCGCTATATACCTCCACGGCCCGGCCAGCAGCACAAGCTCACTCCACAGATCCTCCGCAGCCGTCTGCCCGGGGCGATCCGTATAGAAAAACTCCCCCAACAACGGACGCACCTGGCTCTCCCACTCCTGCAGCCCCAAATCCCGCGCGACGTCCGCAAGGTGCGCGACGAACCACGGGTGCGAGCTGTACCCCTGCGACGCCATCCCCCCAATAAACAAGATCCAGAAGAGGAGGTCGGGCGCCGTCGCGTGGAAGTAGGATACGTCGGCGGAGATGAGGCTCTGCCGGAAGTTCTCGACCATGCAGCGCATTATGGGGAGGTTTTGGAATTGCGAGACGCGCGTGTAGAGGTAGACCAGTAGCGAGAGGCGGAGGGCGTCGTTGATGTTTGGGGCGGTGCTTTTGCTGTCTTCTCCTCCTGCCGGTGATGTGTACCGCGTAGAGAGTAACTCGTGCTGCATAAGCACAAAGAGGTCGTTGTCCGTCGGCGCGACGATTTTTGGGTAAATGGTTGCGACTTCAAAGTGGTGGATGAGACGGCGAAAGGCCTCGACGAGGTATTTCATCTTGGGATGGATGATGGTTGCGGACCAGGGTGCGGTGGTGAAGCGGATGCCGAGTGATGATAAACTGCTGGGAACTTCGCACTGGTATTGGATTCGTTCTTTGACGTTGAAGATCTTCGGCTCGTGCAGGGTTCCGTGGCGGAATTTGGGCAGCATGGGGAAGATGGGGACGGTGTCCTCGAGAGCCGCGAGCATTAGAGCACCTCTATTCCGGGTTAGCAAGACCCATGATTATCTTTGTTAGGGTTGGGATTGCATCGTACTGGTATATTGTGGAGAGCATCAAATGATCGAGCGCCTCCAGGCCACCCACCATGGCCACAAGCGTTGTAAGACCCTTTGCATGAGCCGGGAGAACATCGAGGTTCGCACAAAAGGACTAAATATTCGTGAATGTCAACAAACAGTACTTTTCAAATCTTCCCCTTCGTCTGGGAAGAAGGGGTGAAAGCCATACCTCATTCCCCAGCTGCGCGCTGACAAGAAGCACCGTCGACTCTGTGGCTGGTGTCACAGGATGCTGAATCGATTCGTTGATCGATTTGATAGCGCTGAGCCGGTAATACAAGGAGTCATTAATCGACTTTCGTATAACAGCCGACGGCATCCCCTGACTTGAAGCCAGAAGCGCCTTGTGCTCGGCCGCCCGCCAGGCGCACGTTTGCAGCACGGCCGGCGAAGCCACGGCATGTCGCGCCCACCAGGCCTCCATCCGTGGCGCATCCACAGGATAGGAGATGGAAACGATGTGAACCGTGACTGTAAGCTGTTAGGACATGTGCCTCATACAGAACTTTCCGAAGGGCGAACAAATACGTAGAATAACCTACAGTGATGCAAGTACATCCACAGCTTCCCCGTCATGGGCGCTGCGGCTGCGGAAAACGGGTCGCCGTGGCGCTGGCTCGGACGCGCCGTCAAGGATAATTCGCGATGTCGGACCTGGATGCGTGTCAGTTGCTTTGCATCTGTACCTGCTGCCGCTGCCGCGGCCGCTGCGTCCTGGCTTTCCTCGTCCCTATTCTTGTCGACTCCAAGCTGCAAGACTCGGACCCGGTTCGCGGGGACTCGCGATTTCAACCGATCGATCGAAGCCTGCTTCTTCTCCCGGTGAAACCGTTTCTGAACAAACACCCTCTGCCGCTGACCGAATGAGACCCCGTCGCAGCCGTCGCCCTGGAAGTCGACAAACATGAAATCTTGCTGGCCTGTCATGGGCGGAATTCCGGCATCTGGCTTGGATGAGGCTTGCTTTGGCATGCGCGCCATAGTTGGTGATCCGGGAGTCGTACTTGATGTGCGATGGTAAATTAATTAGAGAGAAAGCCACCGACCGGATCAATGGGCTCTTTTAGTCGCAACAAGGGCCTCGGCCTTTATTCAATCGCCACAGGCTGACAGCCGATCGAGAACCCCGGGCCCGGACGTTTCAACAGGCGCTAATGCAGCACATCGAACAAGCGAGCCAGTCGGAGTGGTCGTTGGCGCTTCTAGATGAGGCTACCCAGTACCAGAGATGACCCAGATGGTGGCAACCGGCTTTAGCCTCCAGCCTCGCAACAAGACGCGCTTAGCTTTCCGCAGTGAACAGGTGAGAGTGCAAGTCTGAAGAGATCCACGGGGAGTGGCCGGTATGTTGTTGACTCCAAGTCTCAAGCGAGCGAAACTTGGACCCCAGTCGACACGATAAGGATGGTGGGGAGACACCGAGATCTCTCAATCTTCTCGAATCTCCAGCCTGGGCTTCTACAAGGTATTAATAAGCGATGCGCGGGCGCTTGTGGAGAGGACACGAGTCGCGCTAACTTGAAAGGGCTATGGATTGTCTTAGTAACAGGTTATTCAGACATGCTTTTGCGGAGCAAAGCCGAAATATGGCCGACTGACAGGAGGAAGCCATCATGAGGAGTGGGGAGAGAAACACTGGATACCTTCATTCATCATGGGTTCTCCCTTACAAACTGTTTTTAGTTTAAGCTTTAATTCTTAGTGGAGTTCTTGGGAATAAGTAGTAGCCCTGTAGCAGCTCCTCTCCGGCTACGATATCTATCTATAGATATATATATATCACCCCGCCTGTAGAAGAGAAGCTTCTCATCGGAAATATAAGCCCCTTTCTAGAGCGCATAGATATCCTAAGGGTTTCTCAAGAAGCAAGGCGGCTAGTAGGAAGCCAAATATACAAGCTATATATAGTCATTTTCCTTGGACCTCGCCTCATACATGGACCGACCATAATATGGATGCAGACTCAAGAGCCCTAAATTCAACCATACTTCTTCCTTCATCAACCCAAACACAGCAAGTAGATCATTATAAGCTACAACATACCCAAGTACTAGTGGTAGGTACTTAGACGCCAAAGACTTCAGTCAATCATGCCATTGAGGCTGTACCACTTCGTATGAGAACCAGTCAACCCAGCCAACTACCCAAACAAATCCTGGCTCCCCCCAGCCAACACACCCCCAATCCCCATCCCTCCTCCACCCGCAACTCCAGAAGCATCCTTCGTCTTCCCATCAATAACCCCACCCACCAGCTCTCCTCGTCCTTACTGGCACAACCCCAAACCTCCTCGAGCAGCGCCGCCGCAGTAAGAAACATGTCATACCCGGTCTCCTCGCTCCACCAGATACAGTACTCAGATACAGTACTCAGATACAGTACTCAGCTAGGAAGACGGGGAGGAGGAGTTGTTTTTGCAGCATGAGGCTATTGTTACTTCGGATGTTGCTGCTCCGACGGCGGGCGGTCACGTTGTTGAGGGGTTTGCGGGCGAGCAAGGAGAGCATTAGGGCTTCCTGGGCTTTCGGTTTGGTCTTGGCCGTGGGGGTGGTGTTGTTTCTGGTATGCCGCCATTTGGAGACTTTTTCGATGTATAGGAGGAGCCCGTACAGACTCTGGGATGTACGAAGCATGTATAACCCCACCATACGCACTCTCCAAGCATGACGACTCCCAATTCCCCATACAAGCCAAAGTGGTAGGGCGTTTGTCCAAATGGGGAAGGTCACTGAGCAGCGCGTGATTTGTTCGCCTAGCTGGGCGTACTCCCCAAACGAGCAGGTCGCCCAGCTGCTGGTGATCCATCGCTTGCTGCTCTAACAACTCCAGATTTAGAGATGGGCAAAGACCCACCCTATCCCTACGGCAAGTTTAAGTTTCCATACTTTGTTATCTCAATCAAGTGATCGTACTTTCGCTGGTCGACCTACTGCAAAACCCTGGGCACATCAACGAGACTCCTCCATAGTATCACGAGCACACTTGATACAAATCACAAACAAAGCGCGGACTAGCAAAGTGTACCATCGTTTTTAAAGCCCTGCCCGCATGGGTACGCCAAAGATGGCCATTTCTGCGCACTGTAGTGCTCCCAAGGAGTGCGTATCTCCCCACCCACCGGCCATTTACCGGGAGTATTCCCGGAGAAATAGATCCCAAAACGGAGATCTATAGGGAGATTCGCTGTTCGAGAGAAAGAGCAATCATTGGTTGGGAGACATGTTTCGGCATTTGCCTCCAGGCTCCAGTGCCCACTGGTAATGGGCCTCGAGCTCGCTGATGCGAGAATTCTTGCGAGCTAGACCTCGGAGCTTCCGAGTCTTATACTTGATGGAAATGATGTGTTATACCCCGCACCTTATAATCCTCTGATAAGAACCGACTCCAAGGACGGATTGTCCTTTCTGACGCTGAAAGTTGTTCCTCACAGAGACATTCTCTCTATCCTAAGCCCTAAAAGTATCACAATCCTTGCGACAAAAGCGAATCACATCCAGAACAAGACCAGCAGCAATGGCCAAGCAACAAAAGGACCCCGAAATCATCGAGCTCGCCCGCGGGCTCCAAAACACGCCCTGGTGCGACGAGTACGAGAAGATGATCTCGGGCATGCTGTACGCTCCATTCCACTCCGTTTCCCCCTGACAATCACTAAACAATAGATAGCTACAACCCCCTCCACCAACCCCTCGTCGACGCCCGGCACCGCGCCCGCTGCCTAACCTACAAATTCAACAACCTCGACCCAAGCAGCGGAACACACGACCAAGTCGCCGAGACGCGCATCAAGCTGCTAGGCGACATGCTTGGCCGCGTCGGCAAGGGAACCTTTATCGAGCCGCCGTTTAATCCGGATTACGGGTGTAATGTGATCGTGGGCAAGAATTTCTTTGCGAATTTTGGGTACGCCTTCCATACCCCGGTATACTCACAGCAGCACAGCTCATTTAGCTAACACGGGAGCAATGGTTTCGTTTCCAGCCTGACAATCCTCGACACATCCCTCGTCATAATCGGCAATCGAGTGCAATTCGGACCCAACGTCAGCCTCTTCGGGGCTGGGCATGAAACCAGTGTCCTCTCCCGGATCAAATTCATCGAGTTTGGCCACCCGATCCGCATCGAGGATGACTGCTGGATTGGAGGGAATGTCACCATCTTACCGGGGGTCACCATCGGCCGCGGATGCACGGTGGGAGCCGGCGCTGTTGTTACCAAGAGTCTGCCGCCGTATTCAATTGCTCTGGGGGCGCCGGCGAGGGTTGTCAAGACTCTCCCGACTGTTGAGGAGGAGAGGGCGGATCCCGACTCTCCGTATAGGGATATGCCGGATCGGATGTGAGTGTGAGATGGATGATTGGTAGAGCTTTGATTTAATTGCACTAGGGTAAGTTTGTATTACTACCAACCTTGCGCTCTGTCAATTACTGAAATAGGCGTGGACTATCTACTGCAGAATGAGAGATACTAGTTTTAGAAGCAAGCTTTCACACCAAGTTACGTGGCGGATGGCAATGGCACAATACCACTACTACAGGGAATGGCAAAAGACAATGGGACCTGGAAAGATATTCCATCTAGTACACCCGCCCTTGTAGAGCTCTTTGATATGAGGTAATCTCAAGTAGTCCGAGTTCAAAGGCTCAATGGCGCATTCACATGAAAGTATTGTTATTGTCGGGTAGGCATTGTATCCGCCACTCTAATATGGGCAGAACTAACAGCCAGGACTTTTAGAGCTGGCATAATAGGCCTCAACACAGCCCTCGTCCTCGCAGACCGGAGGCGAGGCATTCGTCGAGAGAACGCCTTCAATCGAGTATTGGGATCAGGTTGTGCCACATGATGAGATTGAGTTTATGACTGGGTATCTTGTTGATGTGAGGATTAGTATTCCAGCCATACTCTCCTTACAGGATAAAGCTACCTAGGTATGTGGCTAACATATCGCACAGTTCAGAATCCTCCCCGTAGGTGTATCCTTTGGCGTCTCAGTCTCAACACTCACCCTGCACGCCCCGAAACAGCGGATACCTCCACAAGTGGCTTGAAACGTAGTACGGCTTGTGCTTTGTCCAGCATTAACTCCCCAGCATTAAGGCCGCGCTCCTAGATTCCGAAGCCATTAAGGTCGTCTTCAACTGTGTTGGGCTCGCAGCGCGGTCTCTCCCCGGGGTCCATGATCCCAAGTACTACCCGACGCATGGGCAGGTCGTCCTTGTGCGGGCGCGCAGGTCACCACGAATATCATGCGCCATGGGAAGGACTATGAGACGTATATGACTCAGCGGCCGGGGTCGAAGGGGATTCTTAGTCCGGCTAGAGAAAGTAAGCTGGTACTGTCATGGATGCTTGCTGGAACGCAGAAGTACAGTAATCAAGCATTCGAGATGGCTTTGCATTTGGAGAAAGGGCATCGGAGAAGGGTTGTTTGATTTTCAGTAACAGCTTGATACCGCCTCATGCGTTTTATCTTCTAAGAAAAGATAGCTGGGCTTCTAGGAGCTAGTTGCGAATATAAGATAAGTTCATGGAAATCTTGGTTTTGAATAAAGAGAATGAGAATGAGACACTATCTAGTGATGTAAACATCGCAGCAAGTCTATAAACCAACCTGATACTATATTGGCTATACTAGTACTATCACTGAGAGTAACTGATCTTAAAGCTATACTTGTCATCATAATGCATCGCCCAATACGCATCCCAAATCTTCTTCGTCAACGGCCCAACCTTGCCATCCGCCACAGGCTGATCATCCAGTGTCGTAATGGGCATGATTCCACCCGCAGTAGTACACATGAGAATCTCATCAGCCCTGTATGCCACCTCCGTCGGCACAAACATCCTCCAGGAGAGTAGCTCAGTGATGCCCCGGCATATCCTCGACCTTGGCCCAATATCTCGCCACACTCCTCCGCCTCAGCGCCCTCCCCCATTTGATAACGGGGAAGATTGTCAAATTGTGCGCCAGACCCAGGAATGCCCCGAGGGCAAATGCGTTCTGTTGACAGTCGTTCTTCGTCCCTAGATATTCAGCTGGTGGAGTCTTTCCCTTTCTATAGCTGGCATCACGTAGCCTTTTAGCTTTAGGCAGCTTGCTCCTACATAATTTCTACATGCATACATCTAATAGAGTTGATATTTCCCCTGGTTTCCATTCACCTCCTGTCAGCAGCTGCCAGGGCGACGGCCAGCCTGCCTTCCTTCCTCGGCGACTGCCTCCCAATTCGAAGACTGATAAGTTGCACGCCCCTTGAGTGCCCGGGCAAACTCCGGGCAACAACCTAAATAGACTTCAGCTTGTCTGGAATGGTCAAATTCCGCCTCGGTTGACACTCAACAGCGACTCACAGTGCAAACAGAGCAAGAAAGTACACTAGACCGGGGTAATGAGTGACAATTTTTAGCTGAGAGATCCGTCAGCTTTGACTATGCAGGCTGTGCTACCCAGTAACTTTAGTATAGAGTACCTCGTAGCCATAGACCCTTCGTTCCGCGCCACGGGGAAGTCTGCTAAGTTTTTCTCAACCAAAACCATTTTGCTCGAACTTGGAACTCTTCCTTTCTCTCTTCCTCACTTCCATCCTCATCTTGCACTGCTGCACTTTTCTCATCCTTCATGAGCTTTTTCTCCCTTTGACGGGCTCAACTCAGCTTTAATCGCACCTTCCTGTCTGGTCCTCCGTTTACCTAATATTTCTGGTAAATATGTCGATCCCCTTCAGCGCAAGCACTCAAGCCTTCATGGAAAGCTCCACAGAAACCCCGCCGTCTGGCCCTTTTACCTGGCCCTTCATCGAGCCACCTCGTTTCAACCTCGGTACCCCCGACGATTTCAACGAGCAACTGATGGAGGATCTTTGCCGCCCCATCCCCATCCTCGCCATCCTCGCCATGGAACTCGAGAGAGTAAAAGCTGAGACTCGGCAGCTGAAAGAGGAAAATGAGGTTCTGAGGGCGCAAGTTGCGAGGTTGGAAGGTGGTGGCAACTGAGAACCGTTTCTTTGAGAACCTAGTTGGAAGGACTGTCGGAGGTGTCAACAATTCGAGTTCAAGAAAAAAGGGGATTGGTTTAGAGGAGTTGGATGGTCGTTACAGCATGGTGGTGGCTCCTCAAGTTGTTCTTTTGGTGGTTCTTGTCTTTCCCTTTCATTCGGTCTTTCCTCTTCGCTTGGTCTTTAGGTTAAGTATTCGGAGTTTAGGAGTTTGACGGGTCTTTTCGTTCGTTCCTATCCCATATTGCCAGTGCTCTATTTGCGAGCAATATATCTGTGCCCTTAAATTTCGTTGAGCGTGCGATTCTGCAATTTCTGCCTGGTATAGCCGAAACCTTGGAGGTTTGGATCTTTGAGCGAGTTAGGGCTATACACAACAAATAGACGACTGACCAGAAGCTACTTTCACGCAACCCACAACGATAATCTTTGTAGAAAGATTACAGAAAGTATTTAATAACTCAGTCCTCGTTGACAATCGAGAATTCTCTACTTTTTTTTTTTTTTTTGTTCATGTCCTGACAGTTTCAACAACAGCTATACCGTTTCCCAGGTTCCCTTGCTCAAGACAGAAGCACCTTCACCAACCTCCCAACCTCAAAAGCCCAAAGCTCCATCAACCATGCCTACATCACAGGATGCCATCTCATACATTGTCATGTCCTTCGGAAAGACTGAGCTCCCCCAGTCCTCGCACGAGGCGCGCGCCACCATGACCAACGGCCTAAACGCACACGCCAAACAATAAGCCCAGCATCAAGTTACTTTGCCGACCCTAATCCAAGCCCAACCCCTTCCACGGCCCGAGAGATGCCCCTCCATGGACCCACTCAGCCTCGAATCCCAAATCTACGATTCCCTCCTCCACAGCCTCGCAACGGGGTTCGAAGCCCAGGAAATCATCCGCGACGAGGAGAGTATGCGCATTTGACACACGCCATCGCGCGCAAAGCAATCCAGGCCGCACGTTGGACGCTTCAGAGACGGCGGCAACCATCCGGGTGTGAGGAGCCTGCGTTCGTTGCGGAGGGCCCCTTTTGATGGTGTACCGGGGTTGATAGACTGCTTTCCCAGCTCAGGTCAGTTCACTGCCATGATATCTTAATGTGGGGAATTCACCTCCATCCGCCTCTAATTTGTACCCTTCCAGTTGTTGACTGTTAGTAGAGTAGACCCGGGCCACCCGGAGCTTACCTGGCCTTATTCCCCAATACGCGTTTACATTGGACCTGGTCACAAATGATGTCGAGTCTGGAGCGCGTTTTCCGGAGCTTCCATACAGCGACGAGGCCAGGCAAGGCTGAACCTGGCAAATCATCATCCTCGCGTCAGGTCACAATTGCCAAGTGAACGGGAATAAAGAAGCTTCGCAGGGTGAATATAATGGCTGAACTGTATATCAGAATATAGTATGACTATTCACACCTTTCTTCGCTATTACCATTCACTATTAGGGCAACGCCCGTTTGCCCTATGTTTGTCTACCTAGGAGGGCCTATAAAAGCCCTAGCACCCCCACCCTTTGACCTTTCTCTCCTCCGTTTCTTCATCTTCCCGTTCTTTTCCCCATCCGCCAAGAAGGAAATATACGGTTACTTTGCCTGTGGTTGCTATATCGATCTGCCAGATGCATCCATCTAAAATTCCGAAACCACGCCACGAAGCGACGTCTTTCATCGAGCAAATGTCCTCAGCTGGTGTATCCCCCACGTACACGGCTGCAACCTTTGCAGCGCAGTCCCCCGCCAGCTCCACTGATAGTCACCCATACTTATCATATTTTGCACGAGTATGGCTAGATCGGGGATATCCGCAGAGGAGCCCCGGGCCGTCCTCACTCTACAACACCTGTGGCGCATCGTGCTCTCTCAAGAAAGTATTGTCAATCTCGCAGGGGTAGTCTAGGGTCAAATTATTCGCTGCGGTGCTGAGCAGTGGTTGCTTGATTGATTTCCACTTCATTGTTATCTCTGCTCACATACCAGATAGGCACACACAGTGCAGCGTTCGTCCTCAACTTTCGTCTCTTTCTTTCTACACGGTGATTACTTACTACCACAGAACACCTCTATTACGCAATTTGGCATCTTAACTGCCGACGTCATTAACAGGGCTCCCCCAACAGTCGCCCCTATCATCTTAAATCTAAATATATACACCCGCTGGTACTCCAACTACATCCTTCTCCTAAAAAAAAGACATTTAACTCCGGATCCGCCACGGCATATTAGGCTTCCCCCTTTGGAATATCTCCCCCTTTGACCCGAGAACCCAGCGCAATACATCGATCTTCGAGATTGCCAGATTGCATCCATACAGACATTCTACCCGCTAGGCCAGAACAAAGAATTCTGTGGGTTCCGAATTGACTTTGCAGAGCTTGAGAGCACTTCGCCAATCATGCCGTGAACCTCGCACGTCAACGAGTCCTTCCCGGCCGGTCAGCTCATCGAGAACCGTCCACTCATAGCTGATATACTCGGCAATGCAAGCAGTCGTGCGTCATGCGCAGGCCCTATCCCCCAGCCACTCCTGTCAAACAGCTGACTACTTTTAGAATCAAGGATAAGGCCCTGGTTGGTGATGATGGCCAGTTGTCTGAAGTATCCGCGGGGCTACATAGCCATCCAGCCCAATAACTACAGCACCGCCCAGACCGGAGAGCTCTCCGGAGCATTCCGTGTTCATACCACGGCTACTAGAACTGAAGAGGGTCGACACTACTAGGGGTAGGACTATCCTGGTGGATGGCCTAAATATATTTGATTCGAACATTTGCGCACGATGCTTATTAAGGTCTTGTTTTGGAATGTTCTGACTTACTGACTACTGGTCTCCCACTGCGAACGATTGAGATTGTCTCGCCACGCTGGCTGTGAGGGAACTGGATATCATGATATCACTAGGGTCCAGCAGCCACGAGCTCTTGGGAAAGGACAGGAGGACTATAGGAGACCTTTACACATACCTCGGCATCCTCACTAATCTCGATACGCCAATTGCTATTCCACCTTGAAGTGCATCCATCCGTTGTGCCCCCAAGCTGGTATGAAGGCTGCAATGAGCCGGTTCTGGGGGTACAGCAGTGGATGCAGGCGGCGGCAAGTCCCTACATATTGCCAGATCCGGGACGCGTGCCCGGTTGGGAGATGGCACCGGTAGTACAGTACAGGTATGAACGCTGCTCGCTTCCTTAATGTCCAACGAGGTGTGCAAGGCAAGATGTAGCCCTGAGTCTCCTCGGACAGAAGGACAGAACATCTCACGCCATAGCCTAAACCCCTGCTACGGTTACGGGGCAAGGTTCTCCCTAGATGGCAATCTCCTTGCATCGGCGACGCAGGCCATATTATACATGCTGGTAGTGGCAATGGGAGGGAAGCATAAAGAGGGCAAAATAACTACATATTAAGCAAATCCTCGGCGAAATCGAGATGGTCGTCTGGTGGAAAGTTGACAAGGGCCATGGCACAACCCAACACAATTGAGCGATACAAGTGTAGGTATAGCAGTTGAGGGCTTCTGATGAGCTCAGTCTATCCGTTGGGCCCTCGATGGCCGCGGAGCCACGGACGCTATGTGCAATACTCTGCGCCGCCTTGACGTTCTGAATTGTGGATACTGGTACGGGATATCAACATACTTTTTGATCGTGGCTAAGCTGCCCTCGCATTATAGAGGAGGTCTCCAAGGCGCTTTGACTATGACCCCTCCTCGATACCACAGGATTGCACTAATTTACCGAGGCTGGGCGCAGTCAAGGACGATATGCACGAGGATAGAAGTATGGCAACAGCTCAAGATCGTGCATTGCGCCCCTGGCTGGCCATCAGAGAGTCCTTGACGCTCCTGATCACCGGACATACGACAAATGCCCCTGAAAGGGAGATGTAACCGAAATTCATGTGGCACTTGGTCGACAAATGCATAATGCAGCGCCAGATGGATTTTGCATTAGGGTATGGAAGCCGGGTGGAATGCACACGAGACTACCAAGCAGGATGACAATAGTGGCATGGTTCCCGGCGGGTTCCTGCATTATGTGCTGCTGGATAAGGCGCAGGAGAGTGCGGCTGGATGAAGGCATATTCCAGAACCACTTAGGAGAGAACTCGAGGAGATCACTACAGGGAGGCCTCTTTCTTTGCGGGAGTATAACCATACAAGACCGCTATCAGACGCACAATTGAGCTGAGAATGTTGAGAAAGGGTTTAGTTGCCAGTTTACAAAGGCAACCATGCCTTGCATGGATGATATGGTGTCGCTCTCCAGTGGGGTCGGCCAAGACGCTGGCGCGAATGAGGGCGCGCGGACGTGGCTCTGATAATAATCAGGGACGCTATTTCCTTCGCGTCCACTGTTCAAGACGAAACTACAATACTGGAAATACCATATGAAGCAGAGCCATTTGGCGACGTTGGCGTACCTGCGTCGAGAATCAGCGCAAAGTGAGCAACTTCGCTAGAGGCTCGCCGCGCAGCAATGATCGCTTGACCTTCTCGTCCGTGTAGCGTGGAACCATTCATCAGGCTGGCTAGTTAGTGAAGATAGTTATTTCACTTGCCTGCTATATGTGACAGGCCGGTGCTGCTGGGGGCGGAAACCTCTCGAACTATTTATTCTCGAAGCCCGCCGTTATCATTGGAGACGAGCTCGATTCGCCTTCAGCTAGGCCAATTATCAGGGTCAAGGTACCAAATTGCCTTTCGCACTACATGTCTGGTCCTGTAGTTGGCTTACCTGACTATCGGGTATAGCTGGTCTCTTGCTGGCACGAAACTCTCAGACTTCGATCGGTGTCCGGCAGGGCTTCCTAGAGAGAATTCCTGAATCTGCGTCGGCGCAAAGGTGGAAGCGTGGAATATAGATCCAGACAACTACACCAACACGGAGGATATAGTTTTATATTGTCTCTCCCTGCCTGCCATAATATGGCTGGTATAAATATCTACCTGGAACTAGTACCTCAACTCGGGTGCCGGCTGTACCCTAGGCAA